ACTGCTCTTAAGATGAATCAGGAAGCGAAACACCTTAGCACTGAACTTCAGGGTGATGACTACAATGGGGAAGCAGAAAATATGTACCTTACACTTGACCACATGGATCTTCTGTTATTGGTGCTCTTCTGACCAAGTTTGTTCTTATGTTTTGCCTGTGCTGCTTGCTAATTTGCCATCAGAAACTGCATAACATGGAAAAACTTGGCACTAATGTAAGTCTGGATGCTATGGAAATGCAATGCCAGTCATGATCTGACAGAAGACTGACCTGTGGCACCTCTTACTGGTCTGTAGTACTTCTAGTGTGAAGCCGTTACAGGATTTCTCCTCAACAGGCTTCCTTTCCTGTAACTACAGTGGATGCTATAGATCAAGAGACAGAACAAAAGGTACCGTATTTTTTGCACCATAACACTCACTTTTTTCCTCCTAGAAAGTAAGGGGAAATGTCTGTGCGTGTTATGGAGGGAATGCCTACGGGTGGCATGCCTACAGATTTTCCTCCTCTAAAAACTACGTGCATGGTATGGTCGGGTGCGTGTTATAGAGCGAAAAATACGGTAACCCCAAGGTCATAATTTTATCTCACATGGCAGTGGCTTCTAAATGATATACCATAAGTGAACCTTTTTCATATCAGATTGTCTTTTGAGGAACCCATACACAGTTGAGATAGTACCCCCTAAGGATTCTGGGGTGTGTGCTGGGATGCCATACCATGCTTCGCCATCATCCCACATGATCTGATATTGCACACTGGAATCCTCCAGAGCTTGTGATCCACAGGGCAAGATTTGTGGGCAAACTGTTTTCCAGGGAAACTTGCTCAACGTTAGCTGTTCTGATGAACCTCAGTAAACTTCAAAAGAATCCCATGGTTTCCTGGAACGCACTTTGAAATCCACCGTTTCCCAGTCATGTTTAAACTTATCTCCGTATATCAACAGCTCAGTTCAGTAGCACTGCACGATGCATCAGATATCACATCCAGAAACCTCTGAATTGCAGTTAATGGAAAAGTACATACAATCCTGTTCACAGGAGCTAAAAGCAGCTTTTCCTATGATGGTTTGTCAATTTAGATCTAATATGATTTATATCACTTAGCCATGCAAAATGGAGTTCCTTTCCTCATAGAAAAAAAATACAGAACGAGTAGGTTGCTTCCTTAAACCCGGGAAGTTGGGGGTGGGGGAGAACTTAGACTGAGTTATACGTGTGGCCTCGTGCTATACCCCAAGACAAGGGGAGCCTTGAAAAAGGGCTGTTCCCTCTTCCAGAAGCCCACATCTGACTCAGGGTCAAATCAGGCACTGGCTGATGCAATATGACTTTCTTTCAGGCCTGCTGCTCCACAGGCCAGCATCCACCACATCCTAGGTTACCCCCACAAAATGTAGTCTTTCTGCAGATCTCCTCTCCTGGTGTGGCTTCTGTATGTTGGCTTTAACAGTCTTAATTCCAGGACTCCAGTGCATTTTGGAAGATGACTAAACCTAGAATACTGCTATTCCCTCCTTGGTCTCACTCAGTAGGGCTTTAGGGAGAGCCTGAAGATGACCTCTGGCAGGGAAGTAAAGGCCAAGCCACCGTTCTTAGAGGCCTGACTATTCTCTGGACTTCCACTGGCCCTCCTCCTCCTCTCCCAGGTATTTTATACCCTTCAAGTTTCTCCACCCTTCATTCTGGCTGCAGGTCTGCGGCTGTGCTCCTTCTCTCCAACAGGCAGATGAATGAGAGGGCCCTGCTCTGCTCCTTCTAGCATAGGTGCAGCCTCCAGGCAGGGTCTAGGTACAGTCTTCTCAGGAGCCATTGCCTGGTTGGAGCTCAGTGGTGAGAACTGGGACCTATTTAAAGCACAAAGACCACCACTGCTGGTTTTTCAGAGGTTTTGTTTCATTTAAACACCTTCATTTCACAAGTTGGCTTTCAGGGAAGGAAAAACACACACGTATTGGAAGAAAGTATTTGGTTTCCCTCTCGTTGAGCAAAGCTTTCCATTTCTGCCATCTGTTTCCTGATTTGGAAGAACTTTGGCTTCTTTTTTCCTACCTGAACCTGAACAGAATACTGCTTCTAAATCATGGTTATGAAAGAGGAAACAGAATGCTAATTCATTTCCTAGATTATGAAGAATCTAGGATAACTTGCTTGCATAAATTGCTGTTGGTGGCTAGGGTTGACACAAAAACCCATCCTTCCAAAACAAACTTCTTTTCTAGATCCACTGACATTTCATGCATCTTCTACTTTACAAGGTGCAAGGATTAACATAAAGTTCCTGGTTCCTTTTAGGCAAGAGAGAGCCCACTATTGCCAGTATCCCCATTTACTTTTCCAGCTAATCAGAATAGCCTTTGTGCAAGTATCTATAAGGCACATTCTGCAACTTGAAGGCTCCAATTATATGCACACTTAACTTCCATAAGAATCCCAGTGAAATATACTTTCAATGTACAGTATAGATATAATTGAGCTGAGCCCAACATAATATCATTTGTCTTCTACCCAAGTTAGCTTCACGCCTTTGAGCAGAATGAACTCAGTGAAAGCAGGTTAGAGAAAAATGCTCTTTTACTTATTTCTTTTCAGGTGAGTCTTGATCCACAAGAAACTTCCAGTAAAATATGCAATACTGCATGTGATATGCCAAAAAGATGAGGTTTTTTAAAGAAGGGTGAAAGAACCTTCTCTCTTTAAGCAGAGGGAAAATGGAGCCTAAGGCAAATTCAAGACACTCATTTGAGATCGTTTACTCCTCAAAAGGTTTGGCATAAAAACAAATCTCCCTAGGAACATAAATGAGAAATGATTGTGCAATGAAGCTAATTATCTCTTAATATCTTTATTTTGGAAAGAGATTTTCCACTAGAACTCACTCACCCAGTTTCCAATATAAGCTTGGGGGGGTTGTGGGGGCAGGGAATATTTTGCTTTGGGGACTGTAAGAATTGCTGCCAACTTGAGCTTTGCGGGGCATTTCAGTGCAAGTTTCCAGATTCAGTTTCTGTTAAACCAAATCCTCTTTTCTGTAGCTTTTCACATGGTACATCGAATGCCAAGTTTCCTTGTATTTATGTGTTAACCACTGAGGATGTAGGGCTGTGTTACAGATGTTCTACTATACCCAGGCTATGCACATTCTGTCCTAAGAGCCAAAGAATTTAAAAAGTTATATAAATTATGTATTATTATTTTTTACAGTAAGGGGTAACCAACGTTTGGGGGCCAATTTTGAATTTAGAGTGCCATACGCACCACGTTGCTTCTTTCTAAGTCCTCGGGATCACACTTCCCACCACATCCCCAACGCAGAGAAAATGGGCTGAAAATGGGCCAAAAGTGGGCAGGGGGCACGGAGGCATTTGGCAGCACCCTGGAAATTCCGTAGTTATTTGTATTATTTCATCAAATCAATGGAATGGGCAATAACACTGAAACTGCCCCTCTGACCACTGGAAATAGAATTGAAAAGCAGCACTTATTCTGGTTTCTGAGATTTCAGCAGCCATGGACAACACTTTAAAACATATTTTTGAAGGCATAAAAGGTAGAAGTTCACTTTGCTTTAAAAAAAATGAAACTGGAGGTTGTCAGTAAGTTAAATTCTGCCCCTGATCCCTCATTTGCCCTACCAAAGTTCTTGATTTTAGGAGCTATAGACTAGTGAATTAGAACAAGAAGTCCTTTTAATTTATTCCTATCTGCCTAAAAAGGTGATGAGACTGAGGGGAATAGTTTTGAAATCCTGCTTTCAGAGTCTGAGGCATTAGGAGTCACAAGATATTAAACTTGAAACTTTGCACCATGCTTAGCCAACCTGATTCCCTCCATACGTTGTTGGTGGGATGATGGGAATTGTAGAGCAACATCTGGAGGTCACCTTGGCTACCCCCTGCTCTACACAGAAATTGTGCTACCAATGAGGTGTGGTATCACCACTTTTAATAATACTTCAAAATGCAAACAGCCCTCACCTAATTCCCTTTTTGTTGCCTTCAGTGATTTCTAGGAGTGGAAAACACACTTTTAACTATACAGTGATACCTCAGGTTACATAGGCTTCAGGTTACAGACTCCACTAACCCAGAAGTAGTGCTTCAGGTTAATAACTTTGTTTCAGGATGAGAACAGAAATTGTGCTCTGGCGGGGCGGCGGCAGCAGGAGGCCCCATTAGCTGAAGTGGTGCTTCAGGTTAAGAACAGTTTCAGGTTAAGAACGGACCTCTGGAACGAATTAAGTACTTAACCCGAGGTACCACTGTACTCCACTACAGCTTTCAGGTGGATTGGTTTTGGTATGAATAACTGGGTGTGCAGAATAGCATAGGGGACTGATAGCTTCATGCTGGTTTTCATGTTTTAATTGCTGCTGTTTTACCTACTAGTAGTCATTTTAAATGCCTTGTTTGATGCATTTTACTGCCTTTTGCTAGCCACCTTAGAAGAATTTTACCCTAACAGGATAGAATACAAATATGTTATTTATTTATTTTTAAAGTATTTTTGTTAATACAGAATTAGTTAACTTTCTGTGTAAGCAGGCTTCATGGTAGGAAACCTTTATTTCATATACTGATATAAAAGGGAATTACTCTGAAGTCAATGGGAAATCGGGACGAAGTAAGGACAGCTACACCTGCTTCATATATGAGCATGCGATTCGTTAAACAGTGGGTGAGAGAGTGTTAATTTCTGCAGGTATGGGGTAGAATCATAGAATTGTAGAGCTGGAAGGGAACACGAGGATCAACCCCCTGCAATGCAGAAATCTTCTGCCCAACGTGGAGCTCAAACCCACAACCCCGAGATTAAGGGTCTCAACCCACTTGGTAGTAAAGCTGTGTGCTCCCTTCCGTGCAGTGCAAGAGCCACTTCCAATATAGTTGGTGGATATGTGCAAATTGAAGCCGCCATGTGTACAGTGTTTATCTGTCAATTGACTGGATCCCTACCAGCCACTCAACATCCCACTGGGAAAACAGTGCTGGTCAGATGAGAAACTATTATTTTACCATCGTTTTTCACGCAAAAAATGTCCTGAAGCAACTTAAAAAGATTGATGAAATGGAAACAAACCTGAAAGGCACTAAAACCTCACATAAATACATTCATCCACATGATTAATATGGTTGCTGTATTCATGCACACTTCCATGGAGAGCTGACATCCTGCAGAAGCAGTTCCCACAATATGTGGGAGATAGTGAACAATACACACACACACAAATATATACACACACATCTACAGGGCCACAGGGCCATGACTGTTAAGGCTAGCATATATGTGTGTGCGCGCACACACACACACACGCACGCAAGACTAAGCTGTGCTAGAACATACACCCAATTTGTAAACATGAGAAAATGCACTACAGTTTAATGCTGTAATAAACTTCTTTATCTGGTCACTTTTCAGGTAAATACATTCCCTCAAACGTTAACTTGGTACCATACAACTTCTGCCCTTTGCTGGTTAGGAGAAATTATTCAACTGTGGGATTTGCCTCTGTGGAATGAGGCAAATTTTTCTTTTATTCTGTGTTTTCCTAAGTAGACGAAGCAAGAGTGAAATTTGTCAAGAGGAGATACTAAGGTGTATTCATTCCAATTACAGATATCAAAGTGTCCTGCATTAGTGTTTTTGGTCAGGGCTATGGTGCCAGGGGGGGTTATCTGCACTTCTCCTGCCTTCCTTAGCTGTTTTTCAAGGTCTTGTTAAAGGCCCTTGGAAACAGATCACAGAGAAGCAAAAGTACACCAGAAATCAAAATAAGCCAATTAGAAGTTTGGCTCATCAATGACACCAAAGGAGTGGCTTCTGTTTTGAGCATCTATTGCCCAATCAAGGGAAAGAAGTTGTCAAGGGCAGTGTCAACTAGTCCTGCCTAATGCTTTTGAGAGCTCTTCTTCTAAAAACAATGCAAAACCAGGATCAGAGCCTGTCATGGTACTTTAGATGGATTGCATATTAGGAGTGGCAAATACTACACATATCTGCAGTGAAAATATATCACGTATTATTCTAACCTTGCAATCTTAGGGAGACTGAGCCTGAAAAATACGAGTTTACCTAATGTACTGCTGGTAAGCTTTGAACCTGGGACTTCTTGGTTCACAACTCAGTGTCATAGCCACCTTCTCTCATGTGAAACAGTTTCAAAACAATTCATGTGATGCTTCCATCTTGGTTAACAAAAGAATTAAAGACAGACATGAACATATTCATTCTTTCCTGAGAACAGAGGTTACTTCCTGAACTGGACGAGAAATTTCAGGCTCGAGAGAGAAACCATTTTCTTAGTTACATCTTCCTTTTTCATTATCTGAGGGAGATATTTAGCTTATATTTGAACTTCATACAATACACCTCACTTTCTACATCATACTTGCCTGGATCTTCAAAGAAAAAGTGAACTGCAATTTCAATTACATTTGGGTTTGTTTGTTTTACTGCTTCTTTTTAATTGAAACCACAAAGTTTTGAATACTATGAGAAAACATCATCAAGATGCAGAACAGCTGCACTAGCTTTGGTGAAGTTTGCTGGGCTGGTACCAATAGCCAGTTCAGCTTGAAAGTTAACTCAAGTTATGTCATTGTTTTAGCTTGTTTGTCAAAAACAGGATCGAATTTAGTTATAACCATATGCATTCTTTTAATGGTAAAAAAATTGTGCAAATCCATTCAACCTAGTATAGTTGTGACAGTTTCCTAGACAGTTAATTTAACATCTGTCTCCCCATGCTTGTTATAAACTGCTCGAGAAAGCTTGCCGAGATCACATTTATCATGTTAGACAGCAGTGTAAAATGTGATGAATTCCTTTCATCAGTGTAGATGGTGCTGTTTTCAGACCATTCAAATAACTAATTTAATGGGGTGTGACCTTTTTTTTGCCTTGGCTAATTAGTACCCAGTGGTGTCAGAGAGAAATGTAAAAGCTGCATAAAAGGTTAAGTGTTGTTTTTTAAGAAAAAGAAAAGAAAGAAAGGGTAATTTAAATACTTTTAAATTATTTTAAGCAAGATGTTCTTTGTGGATCTCTAACAAAAAACCCTCTTTCCTACACTTGCTTTGAAAACAACAAATTATTTGCATCCAAACACTTCTGGCAAGTCCTCCCTTCCACAGACCACCCCAACTCTCACCCAATGCTACTAATTTAATGATGACAAACAGTTTCTTCCCCAACGCTTTGAAAGAGCAAACTGCCTTACAAAAATGAAACTCATCACAAATCAGCCTTTAAAGCCCAAATAATATAAAAACCAGTTCAACCTTGAACCACAGTTGATGCTCCAGAAGCTTGCAGGGATTGCTTTCAGAAGGATACTTTGGTTAACAGCTATTCAGTCTTAATCATAAAAAAGCAATAAGATATATTCATTTTTACCATTGTCACTTGAGATGCATTTCCTTGGCATGTTGTAGCAATCCATGTCCTAATTGGATGAGTATTGCAGCAATTCAGGGAAGAACAGTTTAACTGTACTAAGATTTTAATAACTTCAACCAAAATAGCCTCACGTTTGTAACTAATCAGAACAAAGGAAGAAACTGCATTTTATTCCTGACAATAGTTGAGTCGTCTCCAGTCACTTGCAGTGCAACCACGTTGCTTAAAAGGGATGGGGGGGGAGGGGAAAACCTCCCCTTTTCTTCCTTCTTGGTCAGGATTGCAGCGTAGGAATCCATTTTTTGCTGAGTGCTACATAGTCTGCAGATCCAGTAGGTTGCACAGCATCAGAGTCTTGTAGCAAATGAAGTGCCACCAGGCCTCATTACAATGCAGAGATTGCTTCTGCGTGGGTCATGCGGATTTCAGGTCAGCAGTGACCTCTGAATCACTCGAGCCTGATCGGTTTTTCTCCAGAGGACTGAATTCCCCCTCCACCCTTGGGCAGGTAGAAAAATGCTACGTCTTGCGATCTCTCTCCTCGTCTCTCCTCCTGCTCCCCCTTAAACAGACCCCCTCTCTCCAACTCCAGTGAATCTCGAGACAGAAACATTGGGGAAAGGGCAAGCTTCTCCAGGGGGAGAAAATAAAATAAAATGCAAAACTGCTCAGTAACTCTGTGGGTACTGCAAAACCATTTGAAGGTGGAGGGGAAGAAAAGGCACTTAATATCAAATACCCTAGAAAGTCAAAACGCAGCCAGTTAACTCAGTGAGTCAATAACTTGAGTCTCGTAATCCAGCTGACCAGCAGGGAGCGCTCTGTGGAGGAGGATTTCGTGGAGGAGGTCACCGGGAGCTTCTTGGCTCCATCCTCCTGGAAAGGGATCGTCGCACTGTTGTGAAGATCCACATTAACAAAACACCTGCTCCCCCTGATGTAGTCTGCACCCCTCACTAGCTGCCTCTCCGCCACAGGCCTGGAAAAGGGATGCTGAAGTGGGGAACTTTCTTCAATGATGGGCGGGATTCTCTCGTTGCTGAAGTACCGGCAGAGGGCATTTTCACCTGCAACGAACAAAGAAAACACACACTTATCAGAGCCAGCATAAGGAGATGCAGAAGAGAGCGTTTCAACACCTCCAGCCAGTCTGAAGTTTTGGTGAACTGCCCCACACAGATTCCCCTCACCATCACCCCTCTTTAAGATTACTCAAACTTATGTTCTGCTCTTCACCTCCATTTTACTTACTGCTGTACAAAGTTGAGGGTTTGCGTTTTGCTTTAGGGCTAAATTGTAAAGGTACGTGCAAGTACTTGCATTAAAATCCTGACGGAAATAAGAGCTTTGGGAAGGGGCAATTTGGAGCAGAGAAGTGGGCAGAACTGGGTGTTTAATCCTTCACCCACAACTTCTCCCCTGGAACTCCCCCAGCAGCTGTTTAGGCAAGAATTGTAGGAGGGAAAGTTACACGCCTTTTAGCCTTTTTAGAGAAACGGTAAGAGGGAATGTGACAGAGGTATAGAAAATTATACATGGCATGGAGAAGGTGAATAGAGAGCAGTCCCGTCCTGTCCCGTCTCCCCCCCTCATATGACTAGAACTCAGGGACGCCACATGAATCTGAATGTTGGAAGATTCAGAACAGACAAAAGAAAGTGCTCCTTCCTACACAGCAAGTAGTATCAAAGGCTACCAACTCAGATGGCTTTCAAAGAGGATTAGAGAAATTCAGGGAGGGTAAGGCTATCAATGGTTGCTAGCCATAATAGCTATGTTCCGCCTTTAAATACCAGTTGCTGGGGATCACAAGGGGAGAGTGTGTAGCTGCACTTAGGTCCTGCTTGCTGACTTCCCACAAGCATCTGGTTGGCTACTGCAAGATGCTGGACTAGACGGGTCCTTGGCTCAATCCAGTATAGCTCATAGGTAGGTGGGTGTTTCCTCATACAACTTTCCAAAGTCCCATTCTCCTCACTTCTTCACTCAAAATCACCACTATCCCTAAAATTTGGAGCCATTTTGCTTTCAGCACACCATATTATATGTAACATGGATTGTCTCTCACCTGCTTCAAAGCCCTAGAACACTGCTAAAATTATTTTTTGGTGTAAACTGTCTCTAGTGCTAGTCCTTTAGGGTACAGCATTAAGGGGCATGAGGAATAACCTCTCTCTCCATGAAATAAATCCCTTATGTTGCGCTCCTCAACAATGTAGTGGTTTTGTCTCTACGCTAGTATAGCTTAGTTTATGGTGACTGGCACTTACAGAAAGGGAAGCAGATTTGGCTCTCAGTACTGTATAAAGTAAATGAAGGGGGACCTCTGTGCAGTAGAGAACAGGAACACTGTTTTACACTGGCTATAACACTCACCTTTGTTTCAAATGTTGCAATATAAGGCAAACAAAAGCAGTAATGACATTTGAAAGTCCTTCACCTGTCTGCAAAGGTGTGCATTGAGCAACATATAGGAGTGGCTAATCACTACATCCACGAACCGGAAGTCGTTCAGAGGCTCTGTGTGTCACCCATTCTTACGTGTGTGTACATTTTTGTCAAGTCAGGTATTAGCTCGTGTCTTTTAAGGATAGGTAAGGAGGATTGTGGCGCAGCAGCATATAGGCTGAATTGCACTGCAAGGCAAGCATATGCTGCAGGCAATCATCTCTTTCTATTCATTTCATGGGCAAAAGCAAACCAGGTCTCAGTAGCTCACATTGTCTTAGAGAGAGACCACCTGGCCAATTTTACAATGTGGAGGAATGGAACAGAAGAAAACAGGAGAGAAAACCAGTACTCTGGTGCTGTGCTTTAAAGTCAGATAATAAATCCTTGGCCCAGGACAGTTTGCCAGTGCCAGTCTAAGGTTTAGAGGAGTTTTCCATAATATACTTCAGAGCAACCAACCTACTTCAGAGCCTAACAAAGAGGTGTCACCCTACTGTCAAGGGGTAAAGGTAAAGGTAAAGAGACCCCTGACCGTTAGGTCCAGTCGTGGCCGACTCTGGGATTGCGGCATTCATCTCGCTTTATTGGCCGAGGGAGCCGACATGTGGCCAGCATGACTAAGCCGCTTCTGGCAAACCAGAGCAGCGCACGGAAACACTGTTTACCTTCCCGCCAGAGTGGTACCTATTTATCTACTTGCACTTTGACGTGCTTTCGAACTGCTACGTTGGCAGGAGCTGGGACCGAGCAACGGGAGCTCACCCCGTCGCGGGGATTCGAACCGCTGACCTTCTGATCAGCAAGTCCTAGGCTCTGTGGTTTAACCCACAGCGCCACCCGTGTCCCTGTCAAGGGATACAGTGGCATTAAAAGCCTCTGAAGGCTAGATCATCCTAATATAAAATTGACCCAATTGAGATTTGTTAAAAACAACAACATCTAACCTGTGGACCCAGGTGGGCCACCTCTTTACAGGAATAAAAAGAACCAAAGTTTTGCATTATAACAGCTAGGATCCCCACTTCCGATTTTACTCATGGCAAACGCACAAGAGGACGTTCAGAATTTAGCAAGGTTTAACTGCACAGTGGACCCTTCACTACAGGCCAGGGTAGCGAATGTACAGACAAGTGCATTTAAGAAAGCGGCGGTCCTAGAGCACAATTTCCTTACCTTTTCTCCCCATTGCTCGGGGCCTAGAGAAAGGTTCTACACCTCCCAGCCAGTTTCCATCTGCAGGCATAGACAACGGGCGAGGCTTTCCTAAAGGCAACACAGAAGGGGTTTCAAGAAAACAGTGCTGAGTTAACTTCATATTAGCTGATCTGAATGACAAACACAATGCGAAGAGTTTACACAATCTATTCAAAATAGGAAGAAGCTAACTGAGATGCAATACCAGCAAGCAACAGGATGTCTAATAAGCTTGGACTTGTAGCAGCTGCTCTGCCCTGTAGGAATGTGGGACCAGTTAAGATGGCCTGCCTCCAGAAACTAATGGAAGGTTCCTGAATGCTCTGGGGGAATTTCCAACAGACAGAGCCAACAATTCTGCTAGGGCTCTCAGCTCTGTGTGGAATGGTGATATGAGAAGGGCCATCAACACAATCGCTTCCGGGGTTCTTCTTTAGAATGCAACTTGGTTTACTAAGGAACTGCAGGTAATGAAACAAATCCAGAGATGGCTAGATCGCAAGTGGTGTAAAATTTGTTCTGAAGCTGACTTGGACACTTGCTAGGGCACATAAACACACCTATTGAGTAGCAATGGAGGGAGCTAAGAAGCTTTTCCATGTGGTCCAGAGGCTTGTCAACCCAAACATGGGAGTTGGATCTCTGGAGCCAACTATGAATGATTTGCCCAACACTTTGAGGATGAAGTCACTCAACTCCATAGCAATTTGGATGCCACAGCTGCAGTAGAGTGATGTGTCTTATGGGATCCTTTTTCAATTTATGTGGCCTGGTGATGGGACAGGATACGTGTGGCTATCTTGAACCATCCTGGCTGTTGCCTGTCATCCTAAAAGAAGTAGCAGTGCATCCACTCCTTAACAAGCAGGGATACAAGTGATGGTCTTTCCCTGCTATCTGCTCCCAGTGGCTGGTACTTAGCGACAGATTTGGCGACCTAATTTTCAAGCCTTTGCTTTACATTGGAGGCTTTGTCACATACACACTCCAACACCCTATTACCAGGCATAAGCAAACTCATCCCTCCAGATGTTTTGGGACTACAACTCCCATCATCCCTAGCTAACAGGACCAGTGGTCAGGGATAATGGGAGTTGTAGTTCCAAAACATCTGGAGGGCCGAGTTTACCTATGCCTGATGCACACAGCTTTTCTCCTCAGCTGATAAATGTAACAATTTACTCACCATAGGATTGCGTTTTTTCCCTCATCTTTGCAGGAAAAATATTTGCTTCCATGGAATAGCCAGGCAATGGGTCGGAATCGGTAAGTGTAAACCTTCTCCTCCTGCATTCCTGATCCAGGAAGGAATTGGGAGATTCTGCACCTTTGGAACCAGGTAGGGGTTGTTTAGGTTTGCTGCCTCCTGCATAAACAAAACTCCCCTTCTCATCCCTGCAAAGATATAGGAACTTGATTAGCAATGAAAATATAAGGTATTGTGATTCTGCACTCGTGGACGGTCCTTACTACCGTTTGGAAGTAGTGCGACTTTATAGCTGTTCAAGATTTGGCAAAAAAAAAAAAGGCAGAAAAAGTAAAAGGAATGAAGACATCATCAAGGGTGCATGAGTTGGGTCCTACAATTCTGCACAAGCACAGAAAAAGCATAAACTGTGGTACTAGGCCAATGATTCAGCTAAGAATGCTGGTTCTTCTCTGAAAACAAGCTCCTAGACAGGATGCTTGAAGGTATGTGAGCAATGCATGGTGCCATCATAGATGCCAGAGAGGTTGTTGAACAAGGTTTCTGTGATCTGGAGTGAGTCCTAAGCACTCTGCAATTCAGATTGCTCCTTCCACAGGATTAACAGCACCTGAATACATCATGCAAAATAGTCAGAATTTCCAGATAATGGATTACTCCCACTGTGTGGGGCTGACCTTAAGACTGGCCCAGAAGCTGCAGTTGGTGCAGAATGCTGTGGCTAGCATGCAGTGAGGAGCGACCTGCTACTAGTGTGCAATGCTCCTGTTAAGGGATCTGTCCTGACAGTCAGCTCTGGTGCATAAAGCCCTAAGCAACCTAGAACCTGTTTGCCTAACAGACTGCCTTCTGACATCCTGCTTGAATCCTTATGTCATCCAGCAGGGCCCTAAGACACCCTAGAAATTTGTTTCATGTGTACCCAGGGCAGAGTTTTTAGGGCAACAGCAGTCACACTTCAACATACACTCCCCATGGTAATTAGGTTGGCACCAACCATGTGTTCTTTTAGGTCCTTTTCTTAAGACTTTTTATTCAATCGGGCATTTTCATAGTAGCATTGCTCAATATTGTTCCTGTTCAATGTATTTTTATGGGTGTGAATTTTGCATTTTGTTTCTCTCTCTCTCTCTCTCTCTCTCTCTCTCTCTCTCTCTCCCTCCTCTTTTTCTTACAACCCACCATGATATTTTAGAATGGTGAGCAGTTTATAAATATTCTACATCAATAAACAATAAATCCAAAATAAAGGCACTTTGGGGTTAAGCATTAGGTAGCTATTGGCATACCGAGGAGCATATGGAATAGACGGTGGTGGAGGTATGTAAAGGTCCAGAATGGCTGGTTTCTCTTTCTTCAGGGAAGCATCCATGGTGCTTTCAGGTGACTGGGTAGTAGTTGCAGGTGGGCTAGTCTGCAGTGAGAAAAACAACAGGTAGTTGCTTAAGTAAATTAGACGTACACTATGCAACTGGCCCTTTCCATCTACAATGCGACAACATTCCTCATTTCATCTCTCACCTGAGCCACTGGAAACAGACACATTGCTTCTTGTTTTATGTTTACTGATTGTGTTTCATTTTCCTTAGCTGCCTAGAGTTGTTGAAAATAAGGCTACAAGTAACAATTTACGGTAAACGTGGCTGTGTAACTCCAGGCACCCTTGGAAGAAACCAATAACCTGTATCCAAACCAAAAATCTGCAGTTTGTTGTTTTGTTTATTGCATTTCCAAATTAATAATAGTGATCTGCTATACTCTGGAACCATAGAAATGACTTGCTGAAGAAAATGAGCCCCTGGAGGCTTTTGTGAGATATTAAATATACGTTAATAACGTCTCTTAATTTTCCTTCCACGTTTTCTTAATAATCTTGGAACATACGTTCCAAGGCAATGCACAAAATCTAATAGAAGCAGTTACAGAACAGCACAAAACACAACAGGAGATGAGTTAAAAAACAATGCAAAGTGGACACCTATGGCAGAGACCTGTTCATCAACTCGGAAAGCTAAGAAACAGCTACACAAGCACCTGTTGAGCACGTTCTTGCAGAGCAACAGCTTAAATAGTACACAGACAAAAGTGGTGGGAACTGTACCTGCATCTATAAGCAATTCAATTATTAGCTTCCTGAAAGTGTCAAACTACTCCCTTAACATTACTTGCTCAGCCTCAAAATCATCATCTTCTTAAAGCTATTAATCCTCATTTCTTTTCCACACCCTTTCTCTCTCACACAGAGATGCCACAACATCCCAATTCTGCTGATGTTGGCAACTGGCAAATGCAAACAGCACCATGAAAACAAAAGGGGGGAAATCACACAACTCAGCTAGGCTACAAAAGAACACTGGATAAAACTGCTCTTTTAGAAAACATAATCTCCCATCATTAGTTTTCCAGCCCATCGAGAATTTACTGTTTACTTCTAGAATTCATCAGTCCAAAAGATTATAAGCAACTCAGCCCCAAATGGCCTCACTATAAGTTATCTGTCCTGATAAACAGGATCCTTCAGGGATTAAAGAAAAACAATCATTCTCCCCCTCTCTTCAAACCCCAACTGCCTTGTTCTTTTGGTATATTAGAAAGCTAAGGTAATTTAATGGAAAATGAGATTTCACAGATTCTTTGTAATCAACTACCCTTTCTATCCTGGCTGCAAAACTAGTTAAATTAGTCAATGCAAAATACGTTGAAATTTGAGCTTCAGTGATTTCACAAGGGCTATTTATATATGCGCGTTACAACAGAACTCTAGTGCAAGAATTGGCTTAGTATCATTTTCCAAGCTCAAATAGATAGGTGGTATGACCTAATAAAGGCCAAAGTTGGTTGGGGCCAAGAGACTATACCAATTTCACATCCCACTAAAATCTCTAAGATTTGAACATTCTAACTGGCTGTTCCTTACCAAAGCCTGAGCATCTTCAAGAATAAGCACAAAAATTTATTTAAATCATGCAGAAAATGAGGGAAGAAATCACTGGGAAGCCTGTCAGAGGCAAGACAAAACTAAAACCTTGTTACCTGAACAAGTGGTGGTTTCCACCTTAGGTTTTTGAGTGGCGCAGGAGTAAAATTAAAAGAGCCTGTATGGCGTTTCTTCACTAATAGAGTAACGCCAGAAGGATTCTCACGGAGCTTCCTTACAAGGTTCTTCAGCTGCCATCCCACCTTCAAAACAAATCAAACAAACACTTAGAATGTCTACTGCCCTGCATCAGAGGCATGTAGATCAAATTACCTTCCATAACATCATTGTGGAAATCACTTTTCACCGCAGAATTATGAGGTCTTGGTTTGGCCAGAAGCTGTATAAGACTTCTCTGTTAGGATAGGCTTTTGGAGGCCAGGGTAAAGGTGCTATAAAAATGCAGAGTTTCAGTGAACACTGTCTTCCAGCCTGTAGCCTCTGAGATGAGAGAGCTACGTATAAATTACAATATCACTTGCTCTAAGTAAACCCTACACCCCCAACCAAACCCAAATGACATATTTTAAGAAATGACTTTGCAGGCAAAACATGGAAGAATAAGCTTATTACAAGATATAGGGGTGGGGGAAGGGAATTGCCTGACATGTCTACTGAGACACCTGAGTCTTGCTGAAAATATATGAGGGTCTAACTGACTGATTAATGCTCCTCTTACCCTCAACCAGTGGCACAGCGTGGGTTGCCAGTGCTCAGGGTGGGGCAAGTGTTGCGCCCTCCCTGGTGGACTGGGCAGCTGAGATCTCCATGTGGCGGTGTGTGTGTGTGTGTGTGTGTGTGTGTGTGTGTGGAGTCTACGTGGACGGAAGGGCGAGCTGGCCCAAACTTGTCAGCCAGCCCAGGGATGGGACGCACACAGGTCCCTTCAACGGTCACACAGAAAAGAAGGTACCGCCCCAGCTCCAAAGGCCCAGCCCAGGCACGGTTTGCCGCCCCAAAGCTTTGGAAGGCAGCAGAAGCTCAGTCATGTTAAGGGAGCTTGTCATGGCGGGTGCCTGGTTATGTCCCTCTCAGAATTTTGACCTGGGGCCACCACCCCCCCGCCTCCACACACTACGCCACTGCCCTCAAAAGACCCATATCTAGTGGTTTTGTGGTACTACCACGCCACATGGACTTCCCCAGAAACCAACGGAGCAAAAAGCATTGATAAAAGGGATTCTGCTACGATTTTGATCACTGGTGGCGTGTTTTCCCCATTTTTAGCAGATACTGTTTGTGCTTGTCTGCAATTGTTTTTATATGCTGTAAGCGTCCTTGAGAACAGCAGCTGAAAAGGTGGGATTTAAATATTTTAAACAGACAGGCAGATTATGAAATGGCTGGGCAAAGGACAGAGAGAGAGAAAGACCTGGTTTGCCATTAGGGAGTGGATGCTTCCCCCTGCTTTGGTGCACCCTCCAGCCCTAGGGGTCTCCATAAAGGTGCCACTGCCAGAACTCTGAGGGGGGGGGGGTTGTTTGCTTTTTGCCTAATTGGTATAAAGATGGGGTGTGGGTTGGCTAGGCACTAACACTATCAGCCCTGGAGCTACATTAGATATTGTTAACTGATCTATTGGTAAGCTTTTTTGCTCACTTAGATCTTTTCACATATTGTAAATTAATCGTTAATTGTTTGCTTGTTAGTGAAACTATGATGGATTTTTATAAAGTATTGCAATTTAAACAGTTTATTTTCTGTGAGCTGTTTTGAGCATAAATACATCTGTGGAATATGTGGCACATATAAACAAGCTGCCAATAACTATGATAGGGAGTTGGCTCATGTAAGCAGGCCCCCAAATCAAAGCCCTAGCACTTAATTTTGGGACGGGGAAGTTAGACAGCACATGGTCCCCAAATCAACAGCTGTGACTGCTGAGCAGTGGAAACCTTCAACTGGCAGCAAAGGCACAGTCTGCCATCTTCCCTACCTCACCCATTCTAGCCCGCTCAAAGGTGCAACTTTGTGCATGTGCCTAGAAAGGGTACTCACAGGAAATGGCTGTCATCAGCTCACCCAACCCAGGATATCCCTGACTAAACAAATAAACAGTTCTAGATGCTGGTATTGCTTGACTGTTCAGCCCAGAATTTTCCAGAAGAGTCAAAATAGCAGATTCTTCTGACTTTACCTGCTTCCATGAAGGACATTGCAAACCTATAGTTATGTTTAGTAAACTTTTCATTTGGTGAGCCCTATAAAACATCTACTCATTCTTAAATAGCCTCAGTATTCAAATGTTTTCAAACGGAATTGTATTTCTCAGGATTTTTATTTTTTAAAAAAACAAGCTTAAGGGAATAAACTGATGGGAAATTCATTCTTTCCTTAATCAAAATGTTTTATGACCAACCTTTTATAAAAATTTCTAGCTGAATTTATAACATGAACTTGCTATTCTAGGGAAAACTGCCTTAATGGGAAAAGCACCATTCCAGCATTAAGCCCCCCCCCCCCCCCAAGAATTTAATTGAAAAGGCCAGTCACTGGTAAATGAAGATTAAAATCTGTCTTGTGAGCTTGCTCAGACTCTGAAAATTGCTTGGCTAAAAATAAAGGGAAACAAGAAATGCCCTTTACTCACCACAGTCTGGCGATTCACCTGGATCACTTCATCGCCTGCATGAATTTTCTGAGACCTATCAGCAGGAGACTGCAGAGGACAAAAAGAGGAGCGCTGAAATTTTCATTGCTTTGTCACTTAAGAACTACTAAACAGCTCCTTAGTTTGTTTGTTTTTTAATTAAAAACCGCAGGATGACCTTGACAGAAAAGCCAAGCAGATAGGCATGCCTGTGAGATTTCTATGCAAGTTACAGCTGCCATCTCCATCACTAGACATCACAGCTATCAATTAAATAACCAGCAAAAGGCTGGTCAATATGGCAGGTGAAGTGTGAGAGCAGGAAGGGCTTGTCTGAGAACATGGAACCCAGGTGGTGGTAGGTTCACACCATTAAGTGTGTGGCACTGAGAACAGGATCACCCTGCATTTTCAGATGGAGGGCAGGTTTTGCTATCAGCTCAACAATGCATCATAATGCCGCTCTTTGCCATTCGCTCCCATAGGGACAACTAGCCGTTTCCTTATATTGGAGATCATCACTGGGAGCAGCCAGTGGTGACCATGCCACTAACTGAGAATAGCACCTGCTTCTATCTACATAGCCCCACCTTTATATTTGCATAGCCACGCCTTAGGTTCTATTTCAAGGGCTCCTCTATATAGTGCAAGTGAACGTTTGGGACTGGCATATCCTTTCTATACAAAACAAAAGCAGCAGCAAGTGCCCGAAACTGTTGAAAACCACCCTGTGATCTTAATCAATAAACCCTTAATCAGATTTTAGATGTTGAGCAAACAAAACAAAAGTTTGCCTAAGGTCTCACAGGGCCACAAACTCTGCTGTGATTTTCTGCTGCCAAAAGCAAAAGCTCCTTTTGGCTAACCTGGCTTGTCCTGATGCGAGAGGTCAAGCAGAGCTTCAGCAGGAACAGTTTTTGTACCATCACAAGGATGAGCAATGCAAAGCTTATCCTTGTCACACAGGTGTTAAAAGCGCAGGAGTCGCAGGAAAGGAACACAAGGAGCTTCTTCAGCTATACTATCCTTGACTGTTTGTCCAGCTAGACCTGAACTGTCCATTCCAGTGGTGACTGGGGACCACTGGGACTGGCAGGCAGAGTTCTATAAGCCTGCTGAGTTCTGAAAGCAGCAACACCGAGACCAAGGAGGAGGAAGCTTGCAAGCAGTGCCGCCCCACAGACTGGTTGTAAGTAAGAAGGCAGGCTGGTGAGGCAGCATCTCATTCACCATAACAGACCAGCCTCCACCGGTCCACTCTTACTGCCAAGAGCTGTCCAGGATTACAAGTAAAGGTCTTCCCCATCCTTTGAACTAGATATACCAGGGATTGAACCTGAGACTTTCTGTGTTTCCACTGAACAGTAGCCCCTCCATGAAATCTCTTTGCATCAGGAACTGGCAAATCTACTCTGACTGCCAGAAAGAGGGTGGTGGGGAGATAAAGACAAAACCAAAAACACACCCAAACATGGAATAAATCTTTAGGAGTGCTACAAGCTCCCAACCCACCAAACAAGACATAGAACACTTAGTAGAAAGCCTTTTGTTTCACACAAACACACAGAAAGCCAGCTTCAGACACTCTGAGATCTGTAATTTTTATGTACTGCTTAAGAACTTCCATTATTAAGCAGAATGTTTAATAAAATAAAATATGCTGTTTGGGTTGTTCTTGTTCTTAAAGGAGTTACTTCACATCACTTGTGTATCTAAGGAAAATTCTAAGGAATATGAGTCACATGTTCACAGTCAGCAGTTGATGGTGCTACAATCAATTGACAACTTGCATGGATTTTACCAGGGTCAGAGAACCTCAGGCGTCCCAGATGTTGATGGACTCCAAATCCCATCAACCCACATCCAAGGGTCAGAGATGATAGGAAGATGTAGTCCAGCAATCACAAATTCCCCATCTTTAGATTAAATTGTTCTCACAGATCCAACAGAGTCTTAGTATTACCCTGCATCACGTCCTCTAATTGCAAACTCAAGGCAAACGCCAAAAGCTATTTGGCCAAAAAGGGGCTACTGTGAAACAGGGAATAGATATGAGCATGTTCAGGAGAACCCTGAGGTTTGCAGGGGACACTCAGAAGAGTAGCCCAAGGGTGACCGAGCAACCATGGAATACTGAGCTTTACTTGGAAAAGAAAATGAACTATCCTCAAGGGAAACATGGCTGACTGGCTCCCTAACACAGGCATGCCCAAAGTCCGTTTTGGGGGCCGAATCCGGCCCACCAATCAGTTTAATCTGGTCCCTGCGGCAGTTTATTTCCTGGGGTAAAATCCTTAAAAAAAACCTTAACAACTTCAACCCTTAAAAAAGGTCAAGAACTTTGGTCAGCCCTTTGGTCGGCCCCCACGGCCCTTCACTTCATCAAATCTGGCCCTCTTTGAAAAAGTTTGGACACCACTGCCCTAAGCAGAAGCATTCCCAACTGCAACATGTCGTCTTGGGTCCCATTTGTCATCTCAGATTTTAAGGGAGGCAGCTTACATATTTCTGTTGTGAGTCCTTGGATCATAAATTCAAGCAATGGGAATGAGCCCCAGTCTGTGTTGCAAAAGAGTCACAAACCAAAATTATTTTGACAGAATGAGAGAAGAACTGTTGCAAAAAAGGGGGTGTTTTCATTACTTGTTGAGGCACAGCTAGGTAGCTACATGACACAGTCATGCTGAAAACCTATAAATCTGAGGAAGAGATTTAAGGCACAGCATGGACCAGGCAGGGAAAGCTTCCCCTACTTGAGCTTTCCCACCTAAAACTGCTTAATCCTAGCACTTTTCTCTCAGCGGGGGTCACCTCCGAAACACAGGGCCACCCCAGGGGGAAGGGAGACAGAGAAGTGGATGAAGTCATTTCAGAATGGGAAGTATGGAGGAAGGGAACAGCTTCCATATCACGCTTTAGAGCTACGTGTGCACACAACTTTCTATATAACAGTAACCCAGTTATATCACATGGTCTACCACTGCCGTATACTTAGGCCCTGACAAAGCAAAAACACTAAGCGAGCCTTTCCCAACCTCACTCTCTCCAGTTGTTTGCTGGACTCCAAATCCCATCAGCCCCCATCACCATCACCTATGCTTGGGGATGTGGGAGTTGCAGTCCAGCATCTGGAGAGAACAAGGTTGGGGAAGGCTGAACTAAACCAACTGGGAGTTTTAGCAGAACACCCCCCAAAAACTTTAAAAACCTTTAAGAACAACAGATTCTAAGACATACAATTTTAGTTATTTCTGCTGCTATACCCCTGAACGCCACGTTCCTTTTGTTTTAAAACCTGTCTCGAGCACACATGAAGCATTTTAGTCTGCATGTTCTTTACTGCTTACTCATCTAACAAAAAGCTTGCAAATTTAACTAGATTTCTCTTAATAGTAGGGAACATGCTGCAGGGTCAATTATGTGTACTGAAAGATAGAGGTGTTAAAAAACTTTTATCACAAATATCCTAACTAAGCCTGTTGTCTGCCTTGTTAACTATCAGCAAGCAGCAGTTTGGCACCTAAATATTTACTCTGTTCTGTCCAGGAGACAGCACTCTCCTGCAGCTGTTGCTTTAAATGTCTCCAATGCCATTATGACCACTTCACATCCAGTGATACTCCTGACATCCCACTCATAGAGAAAGGAAAAGGTACTAAGCTAATGTGTGACTCATAGAACTGAAACAAATGTCTCATTTCCTCTGTTCCCTTATCAAGGGAAATGGAGGACAGGACAATCCCCTTGGGCTACCTGGGATGAGAGCTGAAAGCCTCATTAGGAAAGACTCCCTCACCTTTCACCATCTGATCTGACGCATTTCGGGGGCAAAAACTACAGCAGCAGCACCTTCATAAAAAAAAGCTATTGGGAAAGTGAGGCAAGATGCCTGGGAAGACAGGGAACCTCCAGTGGGCAACTCCCTTTTCCCTTGGAACGGAAACACCTATTTGGCAAAGAATCCAACAGACGATCTCTCCGAGTACACAATCATAGACGTCCAAAAATGTGCACTGTGCATACCAAGGAATATCTGTCAGGATTACGAAAATCCGTTTGCAAAAGCTCTCAAAGAAACAAACAATACAGCCCTCTAGGCTTGCATCATGAGTGTTTGCAAGATGACTGGAAAGCTCTGTTTGGGTCAGATCATTCCCACCAAAAGCAGGAAATCAGAAGCCGTTAAAAACAACTGGGAAATCCTGTCACCTGACTGGAATCGGACACGTCTCACTCCTCTTGAACAACTCGAGAGCTTTAATATCTACCATCTCGCGCTCTCCTTTATCTACACTCTTGGATGGACAGTGAATGAGAAGCAGCAGCAACTGCAATGTCTGAAAGGAATCATTCTACTAATTGTAAATCACTTGCTCCTCTATGGAGATATGCAGTCCCCAAGAAAGGAAGCTAGGATTTTTCAAGCAAGCTCTAGGAGAGATAAAGGAGATCCAAAGGTTTATGACTGCTAACCTGCTGTGTTTTCTTTAGGGAAGGAGGGAATCGGTAACAGTCTGCATGATTATAAAATTCTGAGATATATGTGCCACGCAATCCAGGAACTTTTATTCAAACTGTAACTCAAAGTCATCAGATATTCTGACAGATTTAAACACTTGCACATGTATAAGTTTTTAAAGCTTTACAATCAGCATCAAAATCTGTATTTTCATTCTCAACTCTGTCAAGCGCTGTCTTTCAGTTCAGCAGAAATGTTATCATTCAACCAGCCTTTCCCTTTTGACCATTCAGAGGTTTTGCAATTAAAAAGATCTGTTTCTGTTATCTTGAAAAATGTGTTTGTCCCAGGAAGCAAATGGAATCTTACATTCTATTACTAGTCTAAACATCCTGCTGCTGCTTTTATAAAGGACAGAGCACATTATGGAAGTACATATTTGCTCAGCCAGCATTTACTAGACCAAACACTATAAGCGCTTTACTCAACAATAGTTCTGGTAATTCCAGTTATTTCAAACCCCAGCAGCATTTTGAAACACTCTTCTCTATTTGCATACTGCAAACTAAACTAAGGGGTTGATATTAGACAGGCAGACACCATCAGACAAGCACACACTTAATTACCACAGTCAATGATAAGTTAATGATAATGTTGCAAAACCCAAATAAAAAAAAAGATGACTTCGGAATCTGCTTTTAATCAAGTTGGCTTCTTGGATCTCATCTTCATCTAAGATAGCTTTAATTAATTCTGTTTGGAGGAAAACATTAAAAAATACTCACGTTTTCTGTTGTTCCAGTAACAACATGCAATCCATCGTAAGTAGATTTTATATACATTCCCTAAGATGGATAGTTAAAAAGATAAATTTAGCACAACAGTAATTATAGCGCATCCACAATTATATTGAGGCTCTATAGAGACAACTATTTATGAAGAGCAACTTTTCCCATAATCCCACTCTGACACCAGTCCCAATGAAACACTGTTTAACTGTGTAAACCCGGTCACCAACCTTTTTGGACTCATGGACACACTGAAGGATTTGTCAGTGGCATCCAACACATACTGCAACCAAGCAGACACCACAAACTATTTACTGATATCAACAGAATGCTGCTTTCAGGTCTAATTTCAGCAGGGGGACAGGCCAAGAGGTGGGGTGCTGTGGACACCAAGAAAGTCCTCTGGGGGCACCATACCGGCCACCCCTGGTATAAAAGGAGTGAGAGAGTGTCTCACTGCAGATAAGAGAAAAGTTCATCAATTCAAATCCTCTTTTCTAATGGGAATTGCTTATCTTGAGTCTCATGCAACTCAACAGAATAGCAAAACTGAAGAAGGATCTGATCTAGACAACTTTACTCCTAGGGTGACCTGGATAAAGAAAAAGTCTTGGATTGCAAGGCTGAGCCAAGGATTCCTTTTGGGTTTCCCCTTCAGTCCTTTAAAGAATTGCATGTGAAGGTATAGAATCACAGAATTGTAGAGTCGGCAGGGACCATGATGACTGATAAGAATGCATCCTTTTGTGTAGTTAAAATAAAATATTTCCCCATCATCACACGCGCACACACAGCTCCAAGTCATTGCGGAGGTGTACTATCCAATAGGTGTCCATGAGAGCAAAACCAAAATATACACATTTGTTGCCAGGAGCTATTTGCAGCTTTTTCCCATGAGCTACACAAACAAAAATTGGCAAAAACAGTTTGACTCAGAGACCCTGATTGGCCGGGGGACAAACTGACAGACAAGATGAAAACACAATATGTTAATTTTTGAAGGTATACAACAATGTCTCCTGAAAACCTGTTGTCTGGATACAACGTAAGCAACCCTTCTTGATAAACACACAATACATGCAGAATTCAGCTATTTTTTGGCGCAAAACATTTTCTGAGGAGGGTATACACCACTCAAACAGCTCTGCTTACCTCGAACTTATTGCCACTGAAAGGGAAAGGTCTTTATTGTCTAGTTTTTACATTATTAAACTAAATAACTTGTTCCTTCTGTCAACATCTTGACATTTGTATTCTTAGTAATGTTACAGCTCGACAGCAGCAGTAATGGCTTCCGTACAAAGGTATCAATGCTAGTATGGAGCTCTCTGTTGTAAGATCTTCTCCACCCCTCTAGGTACACAGGGATACTGAACGGTAGGATCCCCTATTCTTTGTAGAAAAGATTGGAATTTCCTGTGCAAGTGGAGCTCTGGAACTCACACCAGTTTCATCACATTAGCCTTCAAGGACTAGGCCACTATAAATGCACTTGAAAAAAAGCTAAGTGGGCAGCAATTCAGGATTTGAGGAAGGAAAACATTCTTACCAGGCCTTCCCCAGGTTTGATGTTAGTTAAATGAACCTCCTCGAGACACGCACCCTGGCTCATCAACGGATCAGTTGTAAATCGGATTGTCTTATCACAAATTCCATTTAGAACCTTGGACTAAAACAAAGGAAGAGCACCAGGATTACTTTTGCAATTGTTTTTTGCCTTACAACAAAACATAGCCCGTCCGTCCTCCCCGCAAGTAAAGGGGTCACTGCATCCAGATTTATAGGCTGCAGCAGCTGCCAGCACTACCTTTCATCAACTACATCTGGTAAGAAAGCTGCTGGTCCTTTGTGACATATTCAAATCCTGCAGCCATAATTCAGGCCTTTGTAACTTGAAGCAAGGCCACTAATGAGCCCCACAAAGGGCTGCTCTTGTTTACAGTTGGGAAGCTTTGGATACTGAAGAGCACAATGGCCTACTCCCTAAAGGAAGAGGGTCAGAGCATCATATGCACCGACGCCTTGTTCAGAGTCCAATTGTATATGACCTTTAAAGCCCTAAATAGCTCAGATTCTTGGAGACTCCCTCCAGTCTTAAATCCTAAGACTTTCATCATCACTGATCAAGAACATCGTCTCAGTTTTATCACTTATGCACCAAATCAGAAAAAAGGGAATGCAAATGTGTGTTTTATTTGTGGTTCCCCTCAACAATAACATCCTTTCCCCCTGGAATCTCACAAAAATCCATATTAATTAAGAATTTCTCCCCTCCTCCCCCACCCATAAGCATTTAAAGACTTTTCTATTTGGGTACAGTTAATTAGATCCATGCAGGTGGAATTTTTAATATTTTATTTTTAATTAATTTTTTTATTTTTCACTGTTAGGTAAGCTGCCTTTAATTCAAAATAATGATGTATGTTTGGGGTTTTTTGTTGGGCGGGGGAAATTAAAATTTATTGTAAAACAGCAATAAAAAGTTAAAGATTCACCAAACAGCTAATACATACAGGATGGTGCCTTGACATTCTGAGGACAATGTAGGCAAAGTGAGAAGGAGCTGTTGTAAAGTTTAGCAGTGCAGCAAACACTTTGCATACACAAAACCCCTAAGCAAGAGCTAGGGCATCTCATTTTTAAATGGATGGCAGCCAGCAAGGTTGTGAAAAAGAAGAGCCCCATGACCTTAGAAAAGGCACTGACAGACAAAAAAAATGGGTGGGATGCATGGCGATAGCAATCTGACTCAGTATACGTAATATTTAACAAAATGACTAACACACATGCCATTTTTTTCAGTTAAATAAATAAATAAAAGCAAAAACAAAAAGTGTAGTAACCACTGCAATGCATACATGGAAGGGAATATGGAAAAATTGGGGGCGGTGGATGGTAAAATACTCTTTAATTGTTCTATGTTCGATTGAAATGTGTGTGTGTTTATTTTTAGCTATTGTGAATTCCTAAGCATCTATCAGCAGGCGGAAGGCCTTATCAAAGAACACAGCCCGATTCATGCCAAAAGCAGGAAGAGATGATTAACCACTGCAAAAATATAACAAGCATGTCAATGCATCCCTCTTCCAGTCACAAGACTGCTGCAAAAATATTTGGGAAAACTCCCTTTCAGACCGAGTGCAATTAGAAACCATAAGCAGTGCAGGTCTTCTGTAAGAACAAGGTACATTTGCTGCCACACTGACAGCTTTACTGCTCCTGGGCTTTTGAATGTTTGGGTGTCGGGACTTTTTCATGTGTCAGAATGCTAATGTATGCCTATGCAATAATGTTTGAAGAATCGGCCGGCAACTCCTTAGGCAAGCAAAACAAAATAAGCCCACAGTTTGTTACTTTAGTAATTCAGCAGTAAATTATAAAGAGCGGTGTGTTTCATTTATATACCTAGAAGCGTAGCAGCAGCAATTGGCTTCATTCCACTTGCTCCAAGTGTCACACTACAAATGACTTCAGATCTCTTGCACTTCCTGATTCCCACTCTTCTCTATCATCCAATAAGGAACTTGCGCTTCTTCCCACGAGACACGGGGCAGAAGTTCCATCTCGGATGATAGAGAACGCAGTGCAAACAGCACAAGGTACGTGAGCTCTGTTAACACACAAAGCTTCTTTTCAAATCAGCATTGTCTCTTAAGAGCAGTTTTGAACAGGAAGGCATTCAAAGAAAGAGTTTAAACAGAAACTTTTGCACTTACTACACTGAGAACTTTATCTTCCATTTCAGACACAGGACAGTCCTTTTTTAAAAAAAGAGAGAAAGCAAATATTCTATTAGCGGAAGACCCTTATGCAGCAGTAAACTGACACTTTTGACACTGCTGACTTGTACAGTAAGTCAAAGATGTGTGGAATACAGTTGACATTTAGATGCCTTTGGCAACGGTCCAGAGAGGCTTGCTCTCCATGCAGAAACACAGTTACATGCAGCAACGATTCCCTCCATGCAAGCAGATTCTGCATGCAACTTCTACAAGAAAAACCCAGTGGAACCCAAGGAATCCATTTTACATTCGCAAGAAAATTCACAGGTGATTCTGGCAATATATCTGCACCTTCCATGATCTGATTCTGCTAGCAAGAAATATAAGCAATATCACATCTGGCACACATGGTCCTCTCTATCACACAGCCTTTACTCACAAAAGGTAAAATGATTTGTTAAAGAAACAAGAGGGTCAAACAGAGGTCATCTAGCTCAGTATTGTCAACACTGGCTGGCAGCAGCTCTCCACAGTTTCAGAGAGGAGGTGGATGTTTTGCCCAGCCCGGGTGGCGCTGTGGGTTAAACCACAGAGCCTAGGACTTGCCGATCAGAAGGTTGGTGGTTCGAATCCCCGCGACGGGATGAGCTCCCGTTGCTCAGTCCCTGCTCCTGCCAACCTAGCAGTTCGAAAGCACGTCAAAGTGCAAATAGATAAATAGCTACCGCTCCAGCGGGGAAGGTAAATGGCGTTTCCATGCGCTGCTCTGGTTCGCCAGAAGCGGCTTAGTCATGCTGGCCACATGACCCGGAAGCTGTACGCTGGCTCCCTCGGCCAATAAAGCGAGATGAGCACCGCAACCCCAGAGTCGGCCACGACTGGACCTAATGGTCAGGGGTCCCTTTACCTTTACCTGGAGACAGCAGGGACTGAACCTGGGACCTCTGGCATAAGAAGTGTGTGCTCCGCCACTGAGCTACAAGCCTTCCCTTTCAACATGCACTTTACAACATGCATTGTGCCTTTCATGAACAGAAGGCATTTCTGCTCACACAAGGGGGGCAGGGAGCTCTGATTTATGCTGGTTCCCCCCCTTTAACAGTAGACTCCGACACTGGATCCCACTCTGCTCTGAAAGGTCTTCGAGTTTGGGAGGGGGCAATGTTTGGAAGCTGTGGCCGGGAAAGCTGTATTGCACCAGTGAAACTCCATTTGCACTTCTTGATTCAGAATGTGTGCACACATTTAAAGCCTTTGGTCGTGTGTGCGTATGCTTTTAACACAAAAATAAAAGAACCCTCTCCAAATACGCCACTGAAAGAATTCAAGCCAAAGTATTATTTACTCGGCAAAAACTACAAGGAGACTTTGAACTAAAAGAACCTCGTTTAGAAGATTATAGTGTTTCCTTTACTTTTGAAAAAGTGCATAAGCAGAAATTTCAAGATGGACAGCCTAGCTTAAATCTAGGGGAGACTTTAAATATTTAGCATTCAATCCAAGATGGGAAAGGGCATGGCCATTGAAGAGCCATGTTGCTAAATTCTGGGCAACAATGCTACTACTTTTCAGGGAAGACTGCCTCTCAAAGTGGTTTACATTCATATAAATATATAACAGTAAAATATTTAAAACTTAACATTATCTAATTGTGTTTTAAAATTATAAAACTGGAGGAAGACAAAACAGGCCATTTAAAATGCGTCGCAACATCCGCCATGTCCTAAATCAACCCCCAAAGGCCACAGAAAAGAAATGAGCATTTAAAGTATATTTAAAATAGAACCAGAGATGTGCCTCATCCACTATGAAGTTTTATAACTGAAGGGGCTACTGCAGAAAACACACATAGCTACGCATAATGAGAACTGGTTTATCACAAGACAGCCTTTATACCACACTGGTCGATAAAAAGAAGATTCAAATAAAGGAAGCATTACAATTATCTAGGGAAGATTAATGCTTGTACATGGCCCAAATTTTCATAAAATGTGGCCCACATACCCATGCAATAAAATGCTGCAGAGTAACTGGGTGACTTATAGGTGTGGAGTTTTACAACAAGCTAAATTAATAGCCTTACCAAGTAAATAATTCCTAAAAACAACACTGGGAGGGTTTTGGTTTCCCCCCCAGTGTCGACTGTGGGAGGCCAGAGCAACAAAACCTGGCAACGGTCTCCATACACCTGCTTCCTCTAATGATTTCTAAAAATCCCCAGGACTCCAATTTGTTTCTGTTACCAAGCTACATGTAAAATTGTATTGCGGTTACTTCCACACACCCAACGTTTTGCCCTCCTTTTTGTAAAATGTGGATGGAACAAGGTCAGATGGAGATTGGTTGGTGGGTTATATACACAGTGCATCAACTGACCTTCTGAACAGTGGTAGTAAGATCCAAGCAGAGCTGAATGATTTTGTTCTTAGTCACAGAAAAGTCAGCTATCCCTGTAAACGGCGTCCTGTGGTAAGAAAAGAATGTGTCTTTAAGAAAAAAGAGAGGCCGCACAACAGTGGTCATTACCACAAGCTTAGTATATTTAATAACAGGTCTGCTATAAACTCCCGTGCTTGTTGTTTTAAAAGAAAACCCTTTTAGTTAGGTCTTAACTCTTTTTATGGCTGCTTACAATGACCACACTTATGCCCTAATCCAGATCTCGAAAACTCTGCTTGCAATGAGTTCTCATCTCACCCGGTTCCTCTGATCACGGGAAAGTCGAGGTTTGTCCCACTTTTACCTTGTGCTTTGCCAAAAGTGGTGGTGTAAGGACAGAAAGGGGAAAGCAAACCAGGATAGGCCACAACATATAGTAGCCCTGAAACCAAGTAACTGGTCCACAGTATTCAAAAGAAAGATTTGCGATGAAGTTACTGCATATTTACATACTACATAATACTAAGACAGTCTCTAAGCAGTTCACCAAACAACAAATACAATACAGTGGTACCTCAGGTTACATACGCTTCAGATTACATACGCTTCAGGTTACAGACTCCGCTAACCCAGAAATAGTACCTCGGGTTAAGAACTTTGCTTCAGGATAAGAACAGAAATCGTGCTCCAGCAGCAGAGGGAGGCCCCATTAGCTAAAGTGGTGCTTCAGGTTTAAGAACAGTTTCAGGTTAAGAACGGACCTCCAGAATGAATTAAGTACTTAACCCGAGGTACCACTGTAGGCCCATACTGTATTATAAACAATGAAATTGGGAAGGGGGTGGGGACTACAATATAATGTGGATGAAGAAAGAATGCAGAGAGCTGCCAGTCAACAGGTCCAAGCCCTGGTTAAAAACAAAATCCATTCCAACTTCTCAACAAGATCCTGTCATTTCCACAATCTCTCTCATGATGTCTCTTCCTGTCACACTATCAGGGTTCTTTGGAGGGCCGGCAGGATGTGAGAGACTTTTGTGTTTATCTCGGGCCTCAAACTGGCTAAATATCCGCAACTGTCTCCATAGATCAGCCTTCACCAACCTGCCGCACTCCAGCTGTTTTTGGACTACAATTCGTATCTGCCCCTGGCAGTACAGTCGTGCTCGATGAGGCTGATGGGAGTTGCAGTCCAAAACAGACTGCAGGCACAAACTTGATGAAAGCTACCTTAACTTATCAACAGTATTAGCCAGAAGATGAAAGGAATGCTTTCTGCCTCCTTCACTTCTCTGGGGCGACTCCAAATTCCCTTTTATCACGTAGTGGAGAAACAGAAAATTCAGGCTGAAATCCTAAACCACTTACCTGCAAGGAAACCCCACTAAATTCAATGGGATTCTTTTCTGAACAGCTATGTATAGGATTTCACTGTAAGTCACAGACTGATTATATTTCATTGTTGTTTTAAGGGAATTTGGGTCAAGAATGGCCCAATGCAAAATGGCAAACTTCCATGTAATCTTTCCTTGCAGTAGCATATGGGAATACAGTACCACTTTGAGGTGAAATATTATTTACTGTACTTCTAAAAAAAATTAACAGCATTTATATACCATTTAATCGTCGAAAACTCTACACAGTTTATATGAAGATACATTAAAATTGCTGATAAAATCAGATGTTAAAAATGAGTTAGCCTAAAAATAAAATAAAAATCAGCAGCTTTAAAAATATGCATTATAAAATAAAATTAGATATTAAAATAAGTGTTGTGTTTACATATCTGTATAGACTTGCTGAAACAAAGCATTTTTTAACAGGCACCAAAATAGTACAGCGAATACACATGCCTAATATCAATAGACAGGGAGTTCCAAAGTGGAGGTGCTGTCATGCTGAAGGACACTTGGAAAAGTGCTATTCCACACTTAAGATACTGCAAGATAAATGCTATTTGTAAACAAAGACTCCCTGGAAGGCAATCAAGGAGAAATGTCTATGTCCCAGCTTCCCTCTAAAGTCTGCCTTGGGGGGGGATGTTTTGGGGGGGAGGTTGGAGGAGGGAATACAATTCTTAAAAGATATGGATTACCTTCTTATTGTTTGTGTTAAAAGCATACAAGATATCCTACCTGTCCAGCCACGTCAGCAAAGCCTTAGCAGCACCAATAAGCTCCACCACTGAGGTAAGGAATTCATTAGGAGGCTTGCGTGAGGTATTTCCATCATAATTTGAACTTTTCCTCCGGCTGCCAATGTAGTTTTGCAGATTGTTGGAAGAAGCTCGTAGCTTAAGCAGCAAGTTCTTCATGTTGTCCGTTTCGAGGCCATAATTCTGTGGAAGAGATTTTAATTTTATTTCTTTATTTAAGCAGCCATCATGTCTTCTCAAAGTATTTTTGAAAGCATGAGGCAAGCCACCCTACAAAGGCGTTGGTAGTTGTCACGTGTCACATGTGTTCTTCCAGCATCCATCTCTTGGGCACATATGTATATATCCTTCAAAACATTAACAAGCAAACAAAAGTGTAGGGCAGGGGTTGGCAAATTTTTTGTGGCTTGGGCTGGTTCACCATCCCACAGACACCGCGGTGGGCCGGAGTGCGCGCACACACACATGTGCAAACGCTATTTCCGGTGCTCCTTCTGGTGTGGAGGAGGCTTGCGCAGCATCCCATTGGCTGCAGGAGCTTCCTGCAGCCAATGGGAAGCCAACCAGCATCGCAGAAGGCGGTCCCCGCTCTGCTCCGTGCCAGTTTAGCGTGACGCATGAGAGCCAACCGAGTGGACGACGGGGGTCCATGGGCCTTAGGTTGCCGACCCCTGGTGTAGGGGGCAAAGGGAAGAAGCAGCATACAAGCTAGGGGCTTCTGTGTGTAATGCCACCCCACCACCCCACCACCCCTATTTCAAAAAACTGCTTTAACCATAATTTGAGGCTGGTTTCTGTTTTCCTATGATGCAGTTCAAGAGCTATGAAAACTTCAAAGCTGGATGCAGCCAAGACCACAGGCAGACATGTACACAGGCAAATGATAAACTTACAATTCCAGTCCCTAAAATTCTATCATCTGTACACAGCCAGCAATTGAGGATAAGTTTTTTTCTACATAAGGCAGCTCTCAGGCACTAAGAGGTTTAATAAATAAAGCAAGCATTTAAACACAGTAGTAATGTAAACCAACCACCTTTCAAAATTACTTATAAACAAGCATGACAAGTTGTTCCAATGTGAGTCCTCCATCAGTTTTTTTCCATTCCCTTTTATAGGACACCAAGAGATTTGTTTTTGTTATTATGCTGCTTTACCTCCCACACGCTTTAAATCCGGTTACTGGCCAAGTTCTTACAGCTATATATACAAGCCAACACAGGCACTCTTTTCTATTAACCCTCAAATGCTGCTAATGGGCAAGGAATCCCCTCTAAGAAAGGGTAAATGCGCTCAACAGTGAGCCACTGTTTGGGTCAAGCAAGTTGCAACAATCATATGGCACAAAACAAAGAGTTTTCTGAGCTGCTGAATTCTCAGGGTCTATATTTCAAATAATTAGGCGTCATTATAAAATGAGGGTGTAACTGCATGATTAACCCCTGCAAGCAATTATGAAATGAGGAACAACCCATTATTCCAATTTATGTCTGCATTTGATCGTCAGGCTAAACTGTAGCCCAGCTACAGCAAGCCTTGGGTGTTTGTTTTTACCCTTCTCCACATGTGACTGGGAGGAGGAATTTCAGTTTCCGCTTACTTAACCACAGCTTGCCATGTCATCCAAACATGGAACTGTGGTTATGCTTAACTATGGTTAGTTTCAGCAAGCTCACTTTGAAGTTGGCATGAAGATTACATGTTTTAAACCAGGATAGCAGGCAGGGAGGAGAAAAATCAATGATTTTTTAAAAAAGAAATATTTAAAAATCAGATTTTTTAAAATTTTAAATTAGATTTTTAAAATTTAAATCAGATTTTTAAAATACAGGGGTGCCTCGAGTTACAAATGCTTCAGGCTAGAAACACTTCAGGTTTCAAACTCTGCTAACATGGAAGAGTTACCTTGAGTTGAGAACTTTGCCCCTGGATGAGAACAGAAATCGTGTGCCGGTGGCGCAGCGGCAGCAAGAGGCCCCATTAGCGAAAGCACGCCTCTAGTTAAGAACAGTTTCAGGTTAAAAATGGACCTCCAGAACGAATTAAGTTCATAACTAGAGGTACCACTGTAAAATGCATTTGGAGGAAAGATGTTTCTAAAGATACTTTTCTATTTAAGTTACATTATAGTCCAAAGGCTATTCATCAGGAAATAAGGAATTTTTTAAAGTTTTTCATGTGTGCTAAAACTCAGTCTAACTTGTTTTTTTTTTTAAAAAAAAATTGTTTCCCCACATCAGTTAACAAACACGGATACATATGCTATAATGTTATTGTTTCGTTAAATAAATTGTTTAAATTGTTATTAAGGAAATGATTATTTTTCTCCTTCCAATAAAGTACAGCAGAAAAGTTGTCTATATATATATATATATATATACAATAATTTTATAATTACCTGTCGTTGTATTTCTAATAGTATAACCAAATCAGTAATTTTTGATATAACTGTAAAAACTACACTGAAAATTTATTATTCCAAAAATGAAACCTTCATCTGGTTGTAAATATTAAGATTATACCAGAAAGAATGAGTCCTCTTGGAAAAAAAATGATTTAAATCAAGTCTTACTGACTAGTGATTTAAATCAAATCCACCCTGGTAGCAGGCCAGCAGGACTGGAGCTGGTCAGCAGCACAGATTTTTATCTCCCGCAGCCTCAACGTGCCATTTTTGGCAAGCGGGCAGGGCCACTCTCCTGTCAATCACCTGATGTTACAATCAAACCGTGTGACAATCAGCTGACTGTTGGGTCTTGCGGAGTGCTCTGCAAAGGGCTTTGCAGGCAGCTGCAACCCTGCTTTCACTTGAACCTTCCTTAGCTGCCCCACATGTGTATGGCAGGTGGGTGTGGCTTGACCAAAATGTCATCGCAAGCAAAACATGAAGGCCCACACCTGTTTTAAGCTAACTATAGTTAGCATTAATGACAATTTATTAGAACCTGATGATCCTACAAGCCATGTAATAAAAATAAATAAATAAATGAGCAAAAGATTCTAAACACCTACTCTCTGCCACACTAGAGGAGGGAAAGCCAGAAGTCATATGAAAATATGTTCCAGGAAGGTGGGGAGTGGGGTGGGGAGAGATCATGACAGACATCAGGGCAGGCCAATGAAAGCTGCCCACAAGTGGCTTCTACCGAAAATCAGGGGAGGCGAAACAGGTTTGCCCTGAGCTCAGTTACGAGAAGCAGATGGCACACATGTCTAAAAAGAAATGAGAGATCTTATATAGCATGTTCCCTGCCGAAAATGGGTGGAATCCAATGTGTTTCTCAGCCGATGGAAGGTGTCCATCAGTGGAACAGTGAGTGAGGCAGTATTCAGCAATTCCTCCTTCTCCCTACGGCCCCCATCTCAACATGTGCTCCAGAGGCTTAGAAAACACCCCTTAACAGATTTTGCAGGGCATGAGGGGCTGCCTGCAGGGGAATTATTAATATAATTAATTAAATTTGTTAGTCATTTTCTTGCCAGAGCAACTCCAAACAACTTATAAAACAGGGGTCAGCAACCTTTTTTAGCCATGGGCCGGTCCACTGTCCCTCAGACCATGTGGTGGGTCAGACTTGATTTTGGGGGGCGGGGATGGACGAATTCCTATTCTTCACAAATAACCCAGAGATGCATTTTAAATAAAAGCACACATTCTACTCACGTTGATTCCCGGACTGTTCGTGGACCGGATTGAGAAGGAGATTGGGCCGGATCTGGCCCCCGGGCCTTAGGTTGCCAACCCGTTATAAAACAAAGCAAAACCACCAAACAAACAACAAAACCAAGGGGGGAGGTTTCTCGGTAGTGGAACACCCTCCCTTCAGATGTCAAGGAGATAAAGAACTACATAACTTTTAGAAGACATCTGAAGGCAGCCATGTACTGGTATGTTTTTAAATGTTTGATAGTTTACTATGTTTTATATATGCTGTAAGCTGCCCAGAGTGGCTGGGGAAACCCAGCCAGATGGGCGGGGGATAAATAAAATAAAATAATAATAATTGTTATTATTATCATGTTGTTGTTGTTGTTGTTGTTGTTGTTATACTTCCCACCCACTCGAAAAGGCCACCAATACATACTTCAAGGGGAAAGAGAAGGAATTTCCAAAAACTGTCCCTTTCACCATTCAGCTGACAGATGCCTTCCATCAGCAGAGCAACACCCATGCATTCCATCCAGTATGCATGTCTGCAGAGTGTGTGAGGGAGGGAGAGACTTGTGCATGTCCCAGCAGATAGGATAAGATGGAAGTTGTCATGAGCATGACCGCTCAAGAATTGTGCATCTAAAAAGTTTGCTGAATTTCAGTTCAGTTGTGAGCAATGGTGACCATAGAGCACACATGCAAGCTATTTGGCCACTTCCTTACTAAAAATTAAAGAAATCCAAGTAACTCAGAAGGAACATGCTAGACAGAAATGCTTGTAATATCACCACAGTCAGGGAGTTATTCCCGTTCATGTTAATGGTTTAGAGAGTGGCACTCAATCTTAGAAAACTATAAATAAATTTGTTTTCACAGCTCTACCTAGCAGAGAACAGTGTCCTCAGTTCACAAATAAGGAAACCTGAGATGGTGCAAAATGGAAAGTTAAATGGGAAGTGAGCCGTGGATAAACCACCCATGTTGGTTAAGCATAGAATATCAGCATTATAAAGTACCCACCACTTTCTCCACCTATCCTATACAAGTTTAGCAATCAAATTTCCAAGGAACTATGGCAAATAAGGTTAAAAACAAATGTTTTCAAAGTATTTTTTTTAGTGCGAAATGTGTGGCCCGTATTACTTTCTTTAGAAAAATATTTACATAGGCAATTATACAAAACATATCAGAAGCCCCTTTTCAGCTCAACACACCCTTTCATCATACACAGAGAAACAGCACACATCCCTGGGAACACACTAAGGTCAAACATTCCTGCCTTGTTAATCATTAATCTGAGTAGCTGCGGATCAAGTTGCCTTTGACAATGTTTCCTAAAGGCTTATTATAGTTTACACAGACAGAATGCCGAGCACAGTAACCCATGCATCCCAAAACACGAGTCGAAACAAGAGTCAGAAAAGCTAATATTGCCCCCCCTTATATTTCAGATGTGGCACAGGAATGGTAAATTTATAATAAAATAAAAACTACTTCACACAATCCAATTATTTACTACCTGCAGAGCAGTTTAGAACAGAAGCAGCACCTAGGGATTTTTACTGCATTCATCTTTACAGAAGTTTGTTGCTCACTAATATATTACTATTAGTCCCTGGAACTATAGAGTGAAACTGATTTGGCCTAGGGCTACCCAGCAAGTTCATGGGTAAATAGGGATTAACCAAGTTCAACTCTAATCCTCCTCTTCTCCTTGCCAGCAGCAATTAAATTTCCTGGAATGACACTTTAAAATTGGATTCGGGATGGAGAGCCAACCCTGACATCCAGCTCTCCCCTCACACACACAAAGTGGCCTCCCTGCCAGCCCTGACGCAATGGGCGTCCCTGGGCAATGGGCGAATCTGTCAACTTCAGTTCTCTACGTGTTTCGCTTTTCCAATCTTAAATTTACTTCACCACATGTCTGCAGCAATTTGCTATTCTTCTTAACCCTCAAGAAAGCTTTTCACCCTTTTGCACAACTTTCTTCTGGTAAACACATTTCTGACTAATACACACATTTTTGCAAGCACGTTCCAGTATAATGATTTCTTACATGTTGTTTTTGCTGATATATGCAGTGTTATTATGCACAATTTCCCCTTAAAATAAGGTTAGTGAAAACAAGCCAACTTCACACTATAGCTTGCGGGTCACAGCTTGTCAAGCACAATGGTTGGAAGACATAACATGCAATTCCAAAATTACAACATATTCTCCCCTTCACCCTGATTCCAACATAGGGCAGGATGTCATTTTCGCTGAGCCAAAAGAACTTTCTTAAGCAAGGTCAAAACTTGCATTTATGAAGGAAATTAGGAGGAAATTGAAGAAGATAGAATAAAGCTTTTGAGTTCTGGCAGACATCCAGTTTTGTTCGTTTTATCCCGTAAAAAAAAAAGTAGGAAGAATGCCCTCAGGTGGCTGCCTTATCCATTATTCTAAGCAAGAGGTTGCCCAGTAATCTCACGATTTTACCAGATGCGTTCTGCTTACACGGCACTAGAACCCTAACTTTAGCACAGAGGACTGCGCTGATGGTTGCCTAGTTAAAATACAGTGGTACCTCAGGTTACAAACACTTCAGGTTACAGACTCCACTACCCTGGAAGTAGTGCCTCAAGTTAAGAACTTTACCTCAGGATGAGAACAGAAATCGTGCGGCGGCGGTGCGGCAGGGCCCATTAGCTAAAGTGGTACCTCAGGTTAAGAACGGTTTCAGGTTAAGAACGGACCTCCGGAACAAATTAAGTTCGTAACCAGAGGTACCACTGTATCCTTCCTTAGCACCCTTTTTAAAAGCTTATGATACTTGCAACTGTATAACTGAGGAGGCGGTATTTAGGTCAGTTGCTTCAAACATAACACAGCTGATTTGTTACAAGTCACCTAATCTCTCCATCCCCTCCCCCTAGTTTACCAAGGGCAAATTATTTCTGTTTTGCCCCCTTCCCACCCCCCTTTCTGAAACATGAGCTCATTTTATACAAGGAGTCAAAAAGCTCTGCCCATTTTAAGAAAAAATACGCTCAAATACAAGAAGTGTTACATAATGAACGGAATGTAGCCGAGTAAGGGCAAAAAGAGTGACAGAGAATTCTTTCCCACCATTCTTACGGATGAAACTCTATATACTTCTGGCACCGGTTCACAGCATTTGAACAAACACATAGCCCAAGTGTATCCCTGTCATAAACTGTATCCAACACAATATCGCTAACGCTAGAGGAATTAAAGAGGGAGCAGAGAAGGATAACTAGAGAACCATGGATTCCCCCTATAGTATACCGTATGTACTGTACCTATAGTCTCCAAAGGCAGGGAGCAGCCATAGGCCTAACTGCATCCTTATTCAAGCCCATGGGAGCCCTCCTGCTCTTCTCTATATCTATCCCATTGTCAGACAGTGTCTGGCTACCCACAGCCTAGGTCATCTTAAAACAGAGAGTTGAACATTGCCATATTGGCCCCATCATTTTTCTGCTGAGCATCAGCAATCACAGCCATTGCTCTAGAGCCGTACCTTGGTTCTCCAACAGAATGCATTCCAGGAATCCGTTTGACTCCCAAGCCGTTCAAAAACCAAGGCGCGGCTTCTGATTGGCTGCAGGAGCATCGTGCAGCCAATCGGAAGCCGCGCCGGACGTTCGGCTTCCGAAAATCGTTCAAAAACCAGAACACTCACATCCAGTTTTCAATCATTCAGGAGCTGAAACGTATGAGTTCCAAGGCATTCAGCAACCAAGGTATGACTGTACTTGCATTTTTTTAAAATAAAAGAAATACAGCAGATACATCATGACAACAATGATGGGTTTATAAGTGTACAGTCAAGCTTGGAGTGCAGAGATGGGCCTAAAAGGACGCAGGAAATACCCCTATAAGCCATACATTGTCCCTTGTTATTTCTCATAACCAATATTTCCGGTAGGTCTCATTTGCTTTTGTTTATTAAAATATTTCTGAAAAGCATTCTGTGTCAATAACCGCTTACATGAGCTAAGGACAGGGGCTGTGTGCATAGGTGGGCAGCGTATGTGAGTGAGAATATGGGGTGGCTGCACTCAGCTATGGCCTGCAGCTCTTGAAGGTTGGGCCAAGGGTGCTTGTGGTTCTTACCATGAAAGGTAAGTCATCCCTGCTTTAAGGCTCTAGAAAGTTTAGGGCTATAAATCAGTAGTCATCGCCAGCAATTTCCCCGAGTCTAGAAGCATATAGGGAAGCAGCACAGCTGAGCTTAAATTGGGATTACATGCTCTCTGCAATTCATCACTACCCCACCTATACAGGGCTGAGTGACAGCATTCTGCACAAGCAGCAGCTTCCAACAGTATTCATAGGTCCACATAAGAAGCTGGGCTGTAGACAAAAACAGAAGTCTGCCTAAGCATGGGCACCAGTGCTAAATATTGTCTGAGAAGCTATGCTACAGCAGCTCACCAGTCTAAGGACCAGCAGCCCCAGCCACTGGAGAATAGGGCAGGAACATAGGATCCAGGAGCACCTCTGAGATGCCAAACCTCGTCTACAGAGAAGGGTGTGGCTGACTTCATTTAAGAAAGGCAAACCCGTTTGGCTCATTTTCTCAACTTCTTGGTCTTGGCTCAATTTTCACAACTTTTTGGGGGTTTTTTGGTTCGGTCTCAATTAAACATCGACATGTTAACCTTCATTCAGTCTCAAATCATATTCAGGCATTCACTCCAGGAACCCACTGCAAAGGCTCCCCTAGTCTGAAATATTCACATCAACAGTACCAGTTCAGACTGGTGTCACCACTTAAACAGCTGCCCTATGCATAACTGCAAACTGTATTTTATTTTTATTTTTTTGTATCAGCTTCACTTGACTACTGTTAAAAGAGACGTGAGGCCAGGGTACTGGTCTGCCGTTTTACTCAACTTTACCTGGTTCACTCGATACAATCTGCTGTAGAGCTCAGCAGCTGCAGTTATCTCCCCTTTTGACAAATAATTCCATTAGCCAGCGTGAGAAAAACTCAAGAGGATTTCAACACCGTATGTTTACTGACCAGTGCGCAGAGGAGATCCACAGCCTCTAAAACAAGCTCCTGGTGTCCAATCCGGGTGATACCCAACTCTTCAAGATCCTGGTGAGAAATCTGTAATAGCTGAGCACCATTTATCTTCTCGCGTTCAAATTTTTGGACATACTGCTGCAGGCAATCATCCAACCCTAAGTAAGAAAGAAAAGTGTTGTAATTATATTGCTTTTATTTTTAAAAACCTACCAAATATCCAACACGTCTATTCTCTAGCTTAGTTATGTTAATTGAAATGTTAATTGAAATACTGAAAAAATACAGTCCCAGATCGCATGCCCTCTTCATCCATCATGATAAATGCTCTTTTGCCCTGGCCACAAGTCCAGTAGGGCTTAGGAAATAGCATTTCCTCTATTCCCCAACCCCAACAGCACTGCTCTGACTAGTAGCAATCCCTTGCACATTTACATGAGAGTAATCACATTCACCATAATGGGATTTGCTTCTGAGTAAATCTGCAAAGGGTAGCGCTGCAGGTGCTATCCAGTGCATCGCATTACACCAAAAGGTAAAAAAAGTGGTTTAGTCATGCATTACGCCTAACTCTAACTCTCCACAAATAATCCTGCAATCCTCTCTTCATCCTCCAACTTAATCACTCTTGCAATCCACCTCCAACCTCTCAGCTCACTTCTCATTAGGCCATTCTCCAGCATCACAACAGGACTTTGCAGACAAAAGGTACTGTGACCCTCCTGCTTGTCCTGTGCTGCAGTGCTATGATGCCATGGGGAATCTGCATAACCAAATGCTGAAGGAGACTGCAAAAAATGAACACCTGATTTTACAAAGCTCACAAGCAATACATGTTTTACCACTTCATCACTGCCAGAACAGTGTACACTTTCAAAATGTTACCTTGTTAGTGCCGAAACATAGATCAGAAGATATCATCTACTTTTTTAAAAGAAAGCCTATGTTGTTGTATACTCCCTATTGCAGATTTGTGAACAGAAATACTTTGTAGAGACTTGCACCCCTTCCATTTCCTCAATATCTCCAAGCAGGGTTGGGAAAGGCCAGTATCCGAAACTCTGGAAAGCTGCAGCCAGTATATAGTGCCCTAGATGAACCAGCAGTCTGATCTGGCACCTCTTCTGGGCAAGTACACTTTTTGGCAATGAATCTCTAAAATGGTCTCAGTTTCCCTGCATTGGGGACAGAGTGGAGGAAGGAAGGACGGAGGGCTGTGGAGTATTATTGGGTGAGCGAACCCTTCCTAAAAAAAGCTCAACAATCTGGGCTGTCCCCCTGGGAGTAGATCACAGTCTCTAGAGAGTTGGACGTGCCTGCCTTATTACCCCAGCGTTGACTAGTCTGCCTGAGATCCTGAGAGCCAAAGTCAGTCAGATGCTTTTACCAACCGCTGCTACTTGATCATTTTGGACCTTTGGCATGTAAAGCATGTGTTCTACTACTGAGCTGCATTTACCCACCCACCCCATTCATGCCCAGTTCCAGTCTCCGACATGAATGAGGCAATTCTTAATAACAAATTCAGAGCCCTATTTAGAAGAAATCGCAAACTTCGGTCCAAGCCACAGCTATTGTCTCCAAGTAGAACTTAAGTATCTACTCATGTGGTTGTAAGAGATATCACTGTATCAGGAACACACCGAAATGCTAAGGGAAACAATGCAAGGCGTTATTAATCCGCTAGTCAAATGTGAAAAAGCTTCTTTGTTTGGGTAAATTCCTCTGCAGGACAGCAATCAGATAATCAGAACTGGGGCATGTAACAAAGAAACTCACAACAGATCAGTTTAGCAGAAACAACTTAAATTCTTAGGCAAGTTGTGCAATATGCTGAAGGCATTACTACCAGGCAGATGGCAGACTTTCAGTACTAGGGGTATCTTTTCCTTTACAACTTCGCCAAGCAGATGCTTCACACTGAGGATGGGGGTGGAAAATGGGTGGGAGTGTGGAGACGTCATATCTCATGCCAAGTTTCATCCACTTGCAACCCCAATTTAAACACTACATGTTGTAAAAAGTCAGTTGCGGCTCCCCCGTTTCTGTCAAAGACACCACAGAATGCTAACGTTCCTGATGAACAAGTAACATAACCATTTCTTGGCAGTGTTAGGGAAAATTACAAGCCTCCATCCAAAAAAACCGACTTTCCTAGCCACCCACAAGATTACATCCTTGCGCTGTAGATTAATTAAACTCAGAATACTACTGCTTCCAGGCTTATACTTAAGTCACTAAACTGGATTAGAACCATCACTTTTCATATAAAAGCTACATCAAAAGAGTGGAGAGAGAAAAACGTCAGTTTTAAACCATTCATAATTACTGCTTTACATACACAGTCAAATTAAGTTAGGGGAACTCAATTATTCCCCAATCCAGTTATGCGCTCTGAGGCACATTCCCTCCAGTTAAATGAATCGGGGCCAATGGGCAAGAAATCGACTTGCGCACCTGAAAATGCATCAAGTGATCTTGGCTTCCAAGGCTTTGGGTTAGCTACTCCTGCTTGCAGTTTCCCCCCTCACTCCCACCGTATTGTGTGAACTCTAACATACAGTGGTACCTCGGGTTAAGTACTTAATTCATTCCGGAGGTCCGTTCTTAACCTGAAACTGTTCTTAACCTGAAGCACCACTTTAGCTAATGGGGCCTCCTGCTGCTGCCACGCTGCCGGAGCATGATTTCTGTTCTCATCCTGAAGCAAAGTTCTTAACCTGAGGTACTATTTCTGGGTTAGCAGAGTCTGTAACCTGAAGTGTATGTAACCTGAGGTAATACTGTATCTCCAAACTGCTGAAAGGCATCCTGGTGCAACATACACATCCATCTCTGATATCCAACATGGACTGACACGATGAGGCAATCTGGTTTGAAATGAGCCCAAGAAACTTTGAAGGCTTGTGTCCCATTCTCAGATGAGGCATGACTATATGTGAACAGTCTTCTCCAATCTGGTACCCTCCACATGTTTTTGACTGCAACTCCCTTCAACCCCCACCCAGCATGGGCACCAGGTTGGGGAAGACTGCCTGAGAAGAACAAAGTGGGAAGAAAATGAGATAATGATATCACTTTAGATTAGGGTTTCCGTATGTTATCTTTGGTTGGAGCCACTGCATTGTTTCCATTCTTCTGGACAGAGCATGTCTTGTAAATTCTGACCTTTAAGCTATACTTTTAAAATGTATGAGTACATGTAAATAAAATCTGGAAAGAACAATGGAAAGCTGCATTGCCATTTGAGTTTCAACTACAGATTTGAACAACAGCAAGGGCTACGATGCAAAGGCCTGCCAAAGGGTTTGCCTGTCACAACAGAACCTTCGTAGAAAAGGAGCTTTCTAGATAGTATAACAAATTGGCTTGGAAACACCCCTGAGTTGTGAGCGGCTTAAATGCTGATTTTGGGTGGTGGTGGTGCAGGAACCACCCACATAAATCCCAAGTAACTCTAACTACACAAGACTAAGTTGCACAACTGTGTACCTTGTGGCTGTCCACCAGAAGTTATCCAAGGCAATTATGTCAGATGAGAGCCAGTCATGCAATTTTTCATCCTGTGAAAAGGCTGAGCACCAGCAATAAAATTACACTATCCTGAATACAATCCTGATAAGTCTGCAATGCTGCTTGTCAAATCTTCAAAGCAAAATTGCTTATGCAAGATTCAGGCTAATCCATACTGAGCTATCCTAAGGTTATTTACAATGATATGGATCCCAAAATAATACTTCTTTCCTGTTCTCTTTTTTTGCAGAAATCGTTAAACCATTGTTATCAGCTGTCTTTCCTAACATTTTTACGCAAGTGCAAGATGGTTTGTAGGACAGTGAGGGAGAAAAGTGAAACACATTGTAAGCAAAGTCTTATTGTTTGTTTTAAAAATAAAAATGAAAGCTAACACAAAATGCTAAAACGATAAAGCACAGCTACACAATTAGAAATCGATGGGGGAAAAAACAACCAAATTAAAAACGGAAAATGATAGCAACTGGAATTTTAAAAAGAAACAGTTTTGCAATAAATTCACAAAAACCTAGCAAATCAAAAGCTGACTTCTCAAAAAGTTTAATCTTGGCATCTGAAGCATTCCATGTTTAAGTCTGTGGGGTTTCATTGGGGTGAACATTCCAGAAAGACCTCACCACCACTGAGGTGGCCCCTCTCCTTGATGGATGAAGCAGCACCTCAGCTATTTAACAAGTAGGCCTCACAAGAGCAGGCAGGAGAAAGTCCTACATGCTACCTCTTTCTTCCTTGGTATCACAGAACTCATTTCAGCTCCACTTTGTCATCAGTTCAGTGATAACGCTATGAAGAAGAGCAGCAGAAAGAAAAATACAACTGTAAAATGCCACACAATGGAGCTGAAGAATGTTGGACTGTGTCATCAACTGCACCCAAATACAACAATTTAAAGTATATGCCCACCAGGATTGCCTACCGAGTTCAGTGACATTCTATTGGTACAGATGTGGTAGATCCAATTTTCAACATACAGTAAACCACAGCAAAGAGAGTTCCTACTTATAATCAGCTGGATAGCTCAGCTGGTTAGAGTGTGGTGCTGATGATGCCATGGTTGCAAGTTTGATCCCCATATGGGGCAGCTATATATTCCTGCATTGCAGGCAGTTGGATCTGATGATCCCCAGGGTCCCTTCCAACTCTACAATGCTATGATTCTATGCACAGTACAGAGGCGGCAGCTGCTTCTTTTCCCTGTAGCACCCAGCAGCAATAAATACTGTAGTCAGAATGGTCCCTGCAAGGCTAGTGGATCTCAAGCACATATCCCTGTGTGCTTTGCCCTTCCAGAAAGGACTGTGCCCATCCAACCACTCTTGTCGCAGAAGAGCTAATAGAGAAATGGAGGTTACTGTGTTGCTGGTCCCATTTCAAGCTTAATGCAAGCCCCGCAGCCATCGGAGTGGGACCAAGAATTAGTTGGGGAGGAGCATCTGGGCACCAGGAACAGGCTCCGGGCATGCTAACTATAAACACCTCTAAGCTTCAGTTCATATGATGAGCTTTCAGGAGTTCAAAATCAGCAGCACGTGTTTCAGGCCCATTTCGCCAGCCCACCGCATTTGTCTGAAATGTAATCTTTCCACACATTAGCCAGCGCTATTAACCAGACTTGAACAAACAAACTGGAAACAAAAGTGTGCTCACGGATTTGCTCCAGACACCTGGCATTTCAAGTTTCAACAAAAAGCAGATACAAAGGCTGGCTTCGTTCAGCAACTGGATGCAGCATCAAATGGAACTAAAGAAACACCTGCCCTATGGAGGCAAGTCTAGGCAGACCTCGTGCCACCACAAAACCACCTTGGTGGGTTTTATGGAGAGGGAATATCTATTTAAGGCCGACGTGCAACCTTGATCCGCCCCTGCAACTGATGTCTGTAATTGTTAGAACCCAAACTGGAAGCCTGCATTTTTCACACTTCCTTTAAAGATGCTATATACATGATGGGGGACATGAGCAGAGTACCTGCCTGAAAGCCCATAACGTATAAACCAGCATATGCAACATCCTCTTCTGCTGGAAGAAGAGTTTGGATTTGATATCCCGCTTTATCACTACCCGAAGGAGTCTCAAAGCGGCTAACATTCTCCTTTCCCTTCCTCCCCCACAACAAACACTCTGTGAGGTGAGTGGGGCTGAGAGACTTCAGAGAAGTGTGACTAGCCCAAGGTCACCCAGCAGCTGCATGTGGAGGAGCGGAGACACGAACCCGGCTCACCAGATTACAAGACTACTGCTCTTAAGCACTACACCACACTGGCTCCTCTTGGAACCCAGGTATAGTGAAGTGGACTCTAGTCCATGAAAACTTATGCCATAATAAATGTGCTAGTCTTAAGGTGCCCCTTATATAATACTCTTTATTGTTTGGTATTTGTTGCTACCATAACTAATGTCTATCCAGTCAAACCTTCCTTGGAGGTTGTTAAGCAGAGGTTGGATGGCCATCTGCCATGTATGATCTAGTTGAGATTGCTGCATTGCAAGGGGTTGGACTAGATGACCCTCAGGATCCCTCCCAACTCTACAGTTCTATGATTCTATGTAAGCTCTATTGAGTTCCATGGGATTTACTCCCACAGGTAAGCATGCATTGAGTGCAGCCCAATATGGCTGAAAGCACTGGAAATATATGACACTTAGCAAATTCCTTCAGAATCTGCTGTAGAATACTACATTTCGGGGGGAATTCAAGCAAAATAAACAAGCAGTTACAAAGCACGTTTTAGAACACAGTTGTAACAACAGATCAAACTAAAAAATGTACATGTAAAAGCCAAAAGGATGGCGTCATCGCTTTTTTAAAACACAGGATTTATTTCTTGGCAGCCCACTAATAATTTAACTTTCACTCCTACCACCCAAGAAAACTATGTTAACACATTTCCAGGAAGAGTTCTATTTATACACTTGAGCAAGTGCAAATAATACTTGTTTTCTGCGGTCAACAAATGCCCTAAGTTTAAAGTTGGTCGAGCCCAAGTTTATTTTACATTTTTAGAAGCAGCGCTGTTTATATTTCTCATGCATGAGGGCCTGTGCCCCAGGAAAACTTGCCTGCCTCACATTGTACAGTCACACCTCAAATTCTGAGAGCTTCATGTGCAGCCTGCAACTAAGACCCTTTGTTCCTCTGATGTTTATGGATCTGTGTAGTTCTGGGACTTGTTTGTGAGTCACAAGGGCTGCTTGGGTTGAACTCTCTAATAATTAAGACTTTTGAGGTTTATTCCCACAGTGAAAACAGGAAGCCATGTTGCAATGGTGGCTTTTGGAAAATATGAGGCAACACCAAGGATGGGCAGGGATCCCTCCTACTGCCATGCGACATCGTTTGGAGGATTGCAACAAGGAGCATTGCTCACATCAGCATCATTTTGTCCTTCCCTATTTATATGCGCTCCCAGATTAGAAATGCACACATATGCATAGCCCCATGGTGACTGCTAAGCCACCCATAAGCATGTCGGAGCACAGTGTGTAGCAAGAGCACATTTGCATGCTGCCGACAAGCTTTGAGATAGCCAGCCACAGTCATGAAAGAGGTGCAACCTGGCATGCAATCGAGCTGCCACCAACTAGTCTGCGAACATCCTGCCTGGGAAAAAAGATATTATCACGTGTAATTACACAGAACAGCTTAGCTTTTTGGTGAGAAAATTACAACTAAACAAAGCCAACTTAAACCCTAATTAGGGATACATCCCAAGACAAAACCCACAATATACACTGGTGAAGAAAGGCTACTTCGCTGCCACCCGCTGTATCCTCAAGTAGCCATTCTGGAGAGCTTTTCCAGATAGTGAATGGTTTGGTATGATCATCCTCCGACAAGGGAAGGAGTCTTGAGTACTTGGAAGCCTGCTGTGACAAACTTGCAAGGCACTTCGAGGGCAACCCAGACTCTGCTGATGATGATGCTGGGCAGATGGTGATAACTTAGGCACTTTCATGTCTGGCTATTTGGGGTCAGTTGTCAGATGATGTGTACAAAATGCTTGCACGGGTCCAGCCTTCCACCTACAACCCGAACCTATCCTGGCTTGTAAAAGCTAACCAGAGGAAACGGACAGGGTGAATCCAAGGAGTAGTGAATGCATTATCGAGGGAGGGAATAGCACTGCCCAAGGTGCTTAAGAAGGCCTCCTTTTGGGGCACAGTTCCAAGATGTGCTTGGAGGAAAGGTCAGCTACCTGTTCACTGCTAAGCCCGAGGCTGTCCAGAAAGCCGAGTGCTCTGTAAGCAATTAACATCATTAGCAGGGTTATCTGAAGATTTGTAAGATGAAATTGCTACCTACCCAGGTTGAGTAATACAATATTTTAGGTAATGATATAACAAGGATAGGAAGCGAAGCGAAATGTAAAGATGCAAAGTTTAGTTTTGTAAACCATCAGACGGGAGGGAGGGAAGCCGTTAGGCTCAGTTGAGCCAGAGAGATAAAATAAGAGAATATTATGTTATGTAATGTGATTATATGTAAAACCAATAAAAATAATTTTAAAAAGAAACAAACAGAAAGCCTAGTACTGTGCTCTCCTCCATTCCACACCACCCTTCCCAATCACTTTCCATCAATTAGCTCAGAAAAGTAGTGAATGGGAAAGAAAACAGGATAAATTCTAGTGTGGGCGGGTGTGGGCAGGGTTCTGGTTGCACTTGCAAAGGGTTCCCTTCTTCTAGTTCACAAACCATCTTTCCAGAGGGTTGCCTCCTCTGCACTTCTGAAATATCTTTGATGTCCTTAGCTAGCCTTTCCAGTAAGGACAGGAAGTGGAGAGGCTGCTTACTGCGCTCCAGGTAACTGTTTGCTAATGTTGTTTCAAAAGTGTTGTCTTTTTACTTTTAAGGAAACCAGGGTGGGAAGATTCTTTCGAAGTTTTTTAAAAAGGTTAAAGGAAGGACCTCCACAGCTTCCTGTGTTTAAATTAAAAGCTCAGGGGAAGACATGACATTATCTTGGGGGAGGGTCATTGCTCAGTAGCAGAGCATCCGCCTCGCAAGCAAAAGATCCCAAGTTCAATCCCTGGCATCTCCAGGTAAGGTTGAGAGAGACCATCACCTAAAACACAGGAGAGTCACTGCCAGTCAGTGTAGACAATATAGAGCTAGGTGGAGTAATTTTCTGACTTGGTAGTAAGCAACTTCCTGTGCTTGTTCCTATGTTCTCCCATGGGGAATTTTCAAAGCAGGAAACATAGGAAGCAGGGAAGACTGCAGAGTGCTGGATAAGTTTAGAGAAACACACACACACCACAATGATCAGGGAAGAGCAAGCCCACATCCTAACGCTTAAGGACATTCTCAAGCAGCCCAAGAACAAGACAGAAAAATGGAAGCTCCTTTCGCAGGTGAAGAAAAGTTCTGAGAAATTGGAAAGCAGGTTTCACTACAGCACAAATAAAACCCTAAATGGCTTGGGCTGAAGGTGATGGGCCATCTCCTTACCTAGATGACTGAAAATGAATTCCTTAGTGGTGGCACCCCAACTGTGGAAAACTCTGCTCTAGAGGTTATGATGATCATAGAATCATAGAGTTGGAAGGGACTCCAAGGGTCAGTCCAACCCCCTGAAATGCAGGAATCTCAACTAGCATTTGACGTCTTACCTGCCCTGAACCATAAGGTGCCAAGGTGGGTCACAGCAATGTAAAAATACAATATAAATGGTTTTTAATTCATTTCAGTCTCACATCTTCCATTCTTGGGCAAGGTGATTGAGCGAGTGGTTGCTGAACAATTCCAGGCACGTCTGGAAGAAGCGGACCATTTGGATCCCTTCCAGTCGGGATTCAGGCCTCATCATGGGACTGAAACTGCCTTGGTCGCACTGGTCAATGATCTCCGGCGGACTAGGGTGAGAGCTGTTTCCTAGTTCTGCTGGATCTCTCAGCGGCTTTTGACACCATCGACCATAACATCCTTCTGGACTGTCTAGAGGGACTGGGAGCTGGGGGCACTGTTATACAGTGGTTCTGCTCCTTCCTCCTGGGCTGTGTTCAAAAAGTGGTGGTGGGGGATGAGTTTTCAGACCCCTGGGCTCTCACTTGTGGGGTGCCTTAGGGTTCTGTCCTCTCCCCCATGCTTTTCAACATCTACATGCAGCCGCTGGGAGAGATCATCAGGGGGTTTGGGCTGTGTGTTCATCAATATGCGGATGATACCCAGTTCTACATCTCTTTCAAATCAGAACCAGTGAAGGAGCTGGGCATGTTTAGCCTGGAGAAGAGGAGGTTAAGGGGTGATATGATAGCCATTTTCAAATATATAAAAGGATGTCACATAGAGGAGGGAGAAAGGTTGTTTTCTGCTGCTCCAGAGAAGCGGACACGGAGCAATGGATCCAAACTACAAGAAAGAAGATTCCACCTAAACATTAGGAAGAACTTCCTGACAGTAAGAGCTGTTCGACAGTGGAATTTGCTGCCAAGGAGTGTGGTGGAGTCTCCTTCTTTGGAGGTCTTTAAGCAGAGGCTTGACAACCATATGTCAGGAGTGCTCTGATGGTGTTTCCTGCTTGGCAGGGGGTTGGACTCGATGGCCCTTGTGGTCTCTTCCAACTCTATGATTCTATGATTCTAAGGTGGTGAAGGTCCTGTGTGAGTGTCTGGAGGCAGTTGGAGGATGGATGGCGGCTAACAGATTGAGGTTGAATCCTGACAAGATAGACGTACTGTTTTTGGGGGACAGGAGGCGGGTAGGTGTGGAGGACTCCCTGGTCCTGAATGGGGTAATTGTGCCCCTGAAGGACCAGGTGTTCAGCCTGGGAGTCATTTTGGACTCACAGCTGTCCATGGAGGTGCAGCTGTTTATCAGCTCCATCTAGTACGCAGGCTGAGATCCTACCTGCCCGCAGACTGTCTCATCAGAGTGGTGCATGCTCTAGTTATCTCTTGCTTGGACTACTGCAATGCGCTCTATGTGGGACTATCTTTGAAGGTGACCCGGAAACTACAACTAATCCAGAATGCGGCAGCTAGACTGGTGACTGGGAGCAGCTGCCGAGACCACATAACACCGGTCTTGAAAGACCTACATTGGCTTCCAGTATATTTCCGAGCACAATTCAAAGTGTTGGTGCTGACCTTTAAAGCCCTAAATGACCTCGGTCCAGTATACCTGAAGGAGCGTCTCCACCCCCATTGTTCTGCCCAGACACTGAGGTCCAGTGCTGAGGGCCTTCTGGTAGTTCCCTCACTGAGAGAAGCCAAGTTACAGGGAACCAGACAGAGGGCCTTCTCGGTAGTGGCACCTGCCCTGTGGAACACCCTCCCACCAGATGTCAAAGAGAAAAACAACTACCACACTTTTAGAAGACATCTGAAGGCAGCCCTGTTTAGGGAAGCTTTTAATGTTTAATAGGCTATTGTATTTTAATATTCTGTTGGAAGCCGCCCAGAGTGGCTGGGGAAACCCAGCCAGATGGGTGGGGTATAAATAAATTATTATTATTATTATTATTATTATTATTATTACTATTATTACTCAATAATCGAAAGAATAGGGTGGGTACTAAAACCATCTCGGATGTCTGCTGCCAGCACCATCAAGCTTTCAGCACCAGGCATTCTGAAGTTCAGTTACTTTTAAGGTAAGTTGTTGCATCAGATGGAGGAATACCGCATGTAGACTGATTTTTAATTCAATTCTGATGTACCTAGATGAGTTGGATTGAATTTTTTGTACTCTGTTTTCTGTGACCTGCCTTTCTAGCTGTTTTACAGTAAAGAAAAAGAGATAAATCCCCCCAAAGAGTGAACACCGCACTTCTCCAAAATGGCAGAAGACAAAGACTCCACCCACCAAAAGCATAACCACGACCAAACACCCTAAACTGATGTCTATTTCATGGCTGGGGGACGTTTCTTCCTTTTCCACCCATCATTTCTTGCCTAGGAGAGAGGGTTTGGATCCAGGTCAGGCTTAACTGAGACACACGGAAGATCCCAACAATCCAGACCAACTTCCCCCAACCTGGTGCCCAATGAATGTTTAGACTACAACTCTCATCAGCCCTGACCATTAGCCATGCTGAGAGGGCTTGATGGGTGTGCTGAAGGACACCAGGTTGAGGAAGACTGATCCAGACCAGGGGTTCCCAAACTTTCTTAGACTACTTCCCCCTTGGTTCCATAAACTCATCCCCAACGCAATTAATTTATTGAAAACATTTATTGAAAATCCAATAGAAATTATTTCATTTAATTAACTCAACAAAACTGATGAACTTGATTCAGTGACACCAGCATTTTGAAGCCTAATAGTCACTGGCACCCTCAGCGCCCCTGTGCTGCCCGCTTACCTCTTAGCACCCCCCGCAGGTAATCCTACTGCTCCCCAGGGGGCAATACCACCCACTTTGGGAACCACTGATCTAGACATTACTTAAACAGACATCTGGCTTCTAAAAAAGGAGCCAAAACACCATCTAATCCGCCCAACCTACCATAAATATGTAGCACTGCTTAAACTGCACTTTCATTCCTTACAACCAACCAGCCAGCCTGCCGGTTTGCTCTTGCATTTGACAATATGCCCTCTTAGTTTCTCACTGTAGCTTTACTGCAGTGGCACAAGCTCAATTATCGTGCTCAATTATCAATAAATCATGAGGTTCTCAGGAAAGTTCAGGACCTGGGAAGTGAATACTTCTGTGAATGAGCGCTGGATAAAAGGCCCTGGCATGTTAGGCATGTGACTTGTCTACGGGGAGTTAAAATTCTTCTCCAATTATACTGAGGATTTGTGCAAATACAATTCCTAACTGGCTAAAACCTTCAGAGAAATAAAGCCAGCCCACTACAATGCTCCCACTGTGGCTGCTTAGATGCCAAGTTGATAAGCAGCTTAGCAATACAAGATTTGCATCACTTTGGAAACAACTGATTTAAAAAAGAAAAAAAAAATGGGAAAGAGGGGGAAAAGAGCACTACTGTATAAGGATCTTCTGCAAACTTGGGAGGGGGAAAAGAGACAAGACGTTATACCCATCATGCATTTCAGCTTTACATAGCAAGAGGTGGGGAGGAACTGGCCTGTCATGTTGCAGTCTTCGCACTTATCCTGCCACAGGTATAGCTGGCAGATTAGTTTTGAAGGTAAATTTACAAAGCAAACAGTCAGAAAGTAAAAGCAATACAGTGGTACCTCAGGTTAAGTACTTAATTCATTCCGGAGGTCTGTACTTAACCTGAAACTGTTCTTAACCTGAAGCACCACTTTAGCTAATGGGGCCTCCTGCTGCCACCGTGCCGCCACCACGCGATTTCTGTTCTCATCCTGAAGGAAAGGTCTTAACCCAAGGTAATATTTCTGGGTTAGCGGAGTCTGTAACCTGAGGAGTATGTAACCTGAAGCGTATGTAACCCGAGGTACCACTGTACAGCATGCTGAAGAACTGAAGCAGGGCTGACTTCCCACCATATTTCTGTGTGATACATCATCCTTGAATACTTCCAGCTGCTGTTTCCCCGACCCCCACCCCAACGCTTATCACTCCAGCTGCACAAGGGCAATCCGTTTTTATTTAAGTCGTTAGCTGTGCTGAGGTTAAGGGAGCATCTCTTTCTACTCTGATTTTATTATTTAAAACATAGGCTGCTGATCTCAAGGGGTCAAGGTGGTTAACCTGCTTGCTCTCCTTCCCAAAGGATTGTGCAGAGCCTGTCTTCCAGGGAAGTCAATCATTCTTCGACTTCCCCTACAAAGCTTTTTTTTTAATTTTAAGATGCTTCAAAGTTTGTCAAGTGCTCCCTAAGGCCTATTTAACAGCTCTTTCCATTCAGAGATCTGAATTCGGTTTCCAAACAGCCACGCCTGAGAATCTAGAGATTGCCAGCTTCTCTAGAAAAAGAGTGACTGGCATATATAAAATAGAATGAACTAAACAAATTTGTGCTAGCAGGAGTCCCCAACCCATCCCTCCCACCTTTTTTGCTGGTTTTGATTAAGCCCACAGAAATACAGCACCTCCCCACTGACCCACAGGAGATAGAGCATCTGTCTTATTATCCTAAGCCTACCGCCCTCCAGCTACTCCTTCGTTCCGTATGGTACAGCAGAAATCCATGGATTGCAGGGCCTGGAGAAGTGATATGGCTCTGTAATCTGCAGTTAACTCAAAAGGTATTCATGGGGGTAGAGGATATATGGAAAGACCTTTATTTGTCAACATGCTCCCTCAATTCCTCCAATCCTACTTTTGCAGTGATGCCTTGGATGAACAGTCCCAGTCCTACCCTACCTGGCCTCTACTAAGATCCAACTCTCCCCAAGCCAACTCCCTGGCTGATCTAAGGGAGGCTGTTAGTCCCCAAGGAAGAATCTGAATCACTGCTGTGTTCTGCATGGAACCCAGCACACTGCAGGCACCCAGGTCACCCAACACCATATGCTTAAATCATTATCATGCCATTTTAACCATCAAAGATAATCCTGGGAGCTGTGAAGGGTGTTTGTATGGAGAATTTTCGCGCTGTGAGGTTGGCAGCCTTATCAAGCTACAGTTCCCAGGAGTCTGTGGGGCAGGGAGCCATGCCTGTTAAAGTGGAACAAGGGTGCTTTCATCGTACAGCACTGATGTGACCTCATGCTCAGTAACAGCAGTACGCAACAATGTGCTAAACAGCATGTCTTCTGATGTACACCTGTCAAGTTTCACACTTCATAGCATTTCAGCTTCCTTTTACTGTTCAAAAAGCTACTACCATTCGTTGCTGTGATGGGGTGCTTGAGCGTGTCAGCAAAAAGAGTTGATGGCTCCAGATGGGATGTAAAAATACAAAATGTAATTTCTCACAAGGATTGCAGAGTGATCAACAGGCTGTTACTGACAGCTTTCCTAAAATTCTAATATTTTTCTTCCTTGTGGAGTAAAGGAAAAGTGAACTTTAGGTTTATGAGCTAATGCAGGTCACATGTTATGCAGCAGGCTTAGAATGTCTAGCCGTGTGATTTGAAGGAAGCATTTCACACGTTTCATTTTAAATATATCTGATAAGGATAACCTAATATCAAAAATCGGGCTTTTCCCTAAGGTCGTTGCTGGCTCTTGCCAGTTGACTGCCACTGTGTGACAAACGTTTTGATTCCATTCCACATTCCTCAGGCATGTCTCAACTAGTTCCTCTGAACTCTCCTTTTCTGGCAAAGACCTTAACACAGGATTTCAATGGCTTTCCATTTGCAGATAAAATACACACAAATACATGGCAACTGACTTTAAACAAGGGCATTGTGTTGAAATACCAATGGATTCCATGTCCTTTCAAATATTCACAGCCAACTGATTTAAATGTTTATTAAGATCTATTAAACTGTTAGTGTTACTGAGTCCGGCGGAGGTGGCTAATAGTTTGAATTATACTAGAATTACGGCATCAGAGTCTGCCTACTTGTTTTACACAGAATACATAAAGTTTCAAGGTTGGTTTCAGTGACAAAAAATAATAATCTGGTTTTCCCGTGATCAATGCACTGGCAGCCAGGGTCGACTGTTTCCATGGTTAATCAGAAGTTCTCCTTAGGCAGTGAGAGTGTGAAGAGGGGAGATTCCAATTAAGCACAAAACCAATCTAGCCATCACTAGCAACAGGACAATATTTGGCAGATTGCCTCTGACGCAGATGACCCTTAGAAGGGTACCTAGGCCAATGAGATTCAGTTGTCCGTATCTGTCCCGCTGTGCTGCCACTAGGATCAGATGCTTGCAAACTTCACAGGAACAACCCTACTCAGGAAAGAAGCACAGTGCAGCAACAGTCACCGGCCATCTATTTCCAGTCTGTGCTGATGGCTACAAATGATCCCCCTTTGTGCATCTTGCTTAGTAGCAATTTATTATTATTAATATTATTACTTTGAATATATATCAATAGAAATCCAGCGCAAATACAGATAAAGGCTTTGTCAGAACTAGCATTAAAACAAACACAAGCAGAGCCTGCTGGATCAAGCCAATGGCCTGTTCTCACAGTGGCCAGTCAGATGCCTGTGGGAAACCCGCAAGGAGGACCCAAGAACAAGAGCCCTCTCCCCTTCTGTGGTTTCTAGCAGCAGCCATTCAGAAGCGTTACTGCCTCTGACCATGGAAGCATAGCATAGCCACTGATAGCCTTGTCCTCCATGAATTTGTCTAATCCTCTTTCGAAGCCATCCAAGCTGGTGATCATCACCGCATTTTGCGGGAACGAGTTCCATAGCTTAACCATGCACTCCATGAAGAACTGCTTCCTTTTATCGGTCCTTAATCTTCCAACACCACAGCTTCAAAACACACCATATTAACAGTGGGCACTTTGATCCTATGGATACGAGACACAGGAAAGTGGTGCGTGCTAGCACAAGGACAGAGACATCCCAAGTCACGTCCACGCCACAGAGTGGTGATTGCTGCCACTGCTTAGCATTCTCTCTCAGCCACGTAAGGAGTGGTTCTCCTGTAGCTAAGAAGCATTTAGGATGGCCACCCCCAACTTCCCCTGCTCAAATTGCTCTGTGCAAGACCATATCTGTTCTCCACGAAAGGTGGCTGCTCTCCACGACAGATAGTTGATCCACACTGCAGTACCTGCACAACAGGCTGGCCACACACCAGTACCCAACCTACATCAACTTCTGATCATACACTACAGTTAAAAGGACTTTTGCCTGAAAGAAAAATTACCTGCCTACACAGCAGTGCACAAAGTTATGACATAAAAGTTACAGTCTATAATTACTTAACCACACTGTAGGTTACTCAACTGAAGTACCCTATGAGAGGATAAAGGGGGTAGAAACTGAGTACCATAGGGGGTGGCCAATATGGACCTATGGATACTGGTGGTCCCCAATTCCCATAAGCCCCAACCAGCGTGGCCAAAGGCCAGGGATGATGGGAGCTGTAGTCCAGCAACATGTGCAGTCTAGGATAGCCACTTCAGGAGTATATTATCTATAAGGAATACAGTGGTACCTCAGGTTATGAACTTAATTCGTTCCAGAGGTCCATTCTTAACCTGAAAACGTTCTTAACCTGAGGTACCACTTTAGCTAATGGGGCCTCCCAATGCTACCACCACGTGATTTCTGTTCTCATCCTGAGGTAAAGTTCTTAACCCGAGGTACTACTTCTGGGTTAGCGGAGTCTGTAATCCGAAGTGTTTGTAAGCCAAGGTGTTTGTAACCTGAGGTACCACTGTATACTACAGAATAGGTTCAAGAGAAAACCTGGGTCCTTTGCACAGCTGACCCACTGCTTATGAATCTATAAAGTGCCCTTCTGTTTTTGAGGATCAAATGAGTTTATTCTGGAATAAACTGTTTTGTGGACTGCAGCCAGTAAGCATTGCTTAACTTCAGCAGTTCAAAGAGAAAGGTTGACTGTTCAATAGTTCAAAGGCAGGAACACCAGTAGAAAACAAAAGCAGTCAGCAGCAAATCTAGCAAAAGAAAAAGAGCCCAGAAGAACCGGGAAGAGAATAACTACTCCCAACTATAGCAAGGCTCTGACACAGTGACATTTATTTGGCGGCAGCTGCAAAAGCAGTAATTACATATGGAGCTGAGCTGCCTGCACACTACATACATATGGTCCTTTTACATGTAAATGATCTATCCTGAGAAGTGTCTCAACAGCATTAGTACCTAAAGCCAATCCATTAGCTTCCTAGAAGCTGTTTTTTTAAAAAAAGTTGACTGAATGGCTATGGCCTTCTCTCTCACATATCCAACTATCCTGTGGAAACTGGGGCTTGCAGATCAAACCCACAGCAAGATCCATGAGCTCCAGAAGCCATCAGAAGGTTCCAGTCCTCAGATGGAGGAGAGTGAAGAGAACGATCTGAAGTCTACTGGTGCAGCTATACAGGGCTGGCCCTCTAAGCTAAATCGCGCTTTGTGCATGCGCAGAAATGCCAAATCACGACCCGCGCGTTGCAAACGCTGCGGGTTGCAAACGTGCCTCCCACACGGATCATGTTCGTAACCCGAGCGTCCACTGTACATATTATACATTATACACACACCTTTTTGGCAGGCTGGGAGGAGGACAACTGTGATGGGAAAGATAGCACTGCATTCAGATGTGGCCTTAATTACATTTGTTTTCCTGGTTATAATTCCAGTGTTTCTATCCCAATTTCTAAATTCCTCTAACCCTGTTGTACCTTGAGGTGTAGTGGAACTGGGGTACTTTTTTATCAATATACCACCAAGTCATGCTAAATTCTGAATGTTGGGAAAGATCTGTATGCCAAGATACCCCATCAAATTTTGTCAATGCAAACCTTGCAATTTTCAGAGTTAATCCCTCAGTCTCTCTTGGGTATTTCATAGAACCATTATTAAGGTAGAAGCAACCTGGGGAACCCCTAGGAGGCGACCATCCAGCTTGTTCTGTTTATTTCAAGTGGGGGGGGGTCTTTGTTCTCAAATACTAAAATATTCACAGTTTCACATGGGTGTATGCTCTCTCAGAACAGACCACCCTAAGGAATTATGCTAAGACCACTCTGCTTATTTGCGTTCATTTGTATTATTGAACCATTTCACTCCCGCCCTCACCTCTCTTGCTCTCTCTTGCTCATGCAATTTAGTTCATTTGGATTGAACTAAAACTCAGGGTGAAAAAGGAATCACCATCAAGCAGAACAGGCTATCTACATTTCCACATTGGAATGTTGCGGGGATTAAATAAGAATGCTTGTGCATCTCAGCACAGCGATGTGAAAAGCAAAATCCAAACTAACACTAAAATACCAACAGTTCTTCCTCTTCTACAACTGAAAAGAATTCATCTACTTCATCCTAATAGTGGGGAAGCATCTATATAAAATGAAGCTAAGAAAAACTGGGAAGTACGACTTCAATTCAAAACTGTTCTATTTGAATTATTTAAAAATATTAAATCTGACAATATGGGTGGTTGCCTCTATTGGGCACTGCGATGGATAGCTTGAAAGAGAGTCCCTTCAAAAGCATTTCCTGGCCTATTATGCAAAAGCCCTTTCAATATATTTTTAACCTCCACAAAACAAAGGAAATTCTTCTGCAGCAGAATTAAACAGGCCTCACTTTCAGTATTAAAGAAGGGAAACAAAGCACTGGGGAAGTAGGAATGTAAAGGCACCCACGCAATTGGACTTGCATTGTTTAGTACCTAGCAACACTACTTAAGTACTCTTAAAGTAAGCATTAAGAAGAGCAGAAGCTTTAACAAAACAACAACAACAACAAGTCTCGTGCCTCATGTGGCACTTAGTTCTCTTTCTGTGACCCATATATGTTTTGCAGTTTGACAAAGCAAACAGCCACAGTGCAATTATTGGACGGGAGGGAATTAATACCAATTAGCCATATGCACCACATGGCAGGCCTTTCACAGTTAAGAAAACATTTAATTAAAAAAACCAGCATATTTTTTAAAGGAAACAAGGTTTGGTTTTGTTGTTTTTTAAAGTAAATTTTCAACACTATAACAGTAAACTTCTGTCTAAGTGGAATGGTTTGCATTGTCAATGACAAACACTACTGAACTGAAATCCAGCACCCCTCCCTCCAGGTCATTCAAAGCATCCCTCCAAAATGACATTTGAGAATCGGGTGGCTGAACCTCGCCTGCTCACCCATTTATGTTCACAAAAGGGGAAGGACCGGGTCTCTAAAAATTAATCTTCTTTCCCTTGGACCCCTCGCCCTCTGAACCAGACAGAGCCACCTGCCAAATCCGCGTTAACCAGCCTTCCAGAATGCAGAGCCTTCTGGCAATTTCCCATGTCGTGCCACCTCCAAATGTGCAGCTGCCAACAAGTGCAGATCTAGCTCTCCATAATCCAGCCAACCAGGGCCCTTTACAGAGCCAGCAGGCTGCAGTGGTTTAAGCGTCAGACAAGAACTGGGCAGACTCCAGCTTTAAATCTCCCACTCAACCTTGAGATGCACTGGGTCACTTTAGACCAGGGGTTGGCAAGCTTACCGGTCGATGGGCCAGTCCACGCTCTGTCCGTCGGAGGATGGGCTGGAGCGTGTGCGCACACACGCTCTTCCGGGTCGGAGGAGCGCCCGTGCACGCACACTATTTCCGGCGCTCCTCCGGCCTGGATGTGCGCCAGAAATAGCGTGTGCACACGCGCACAGGCACTTCTCCATCCCGCACACATGCGCACATGCTATTTCCGGTGCACATCTGGGTCGGAGGACTCATAGAATCATAGAGTTGGAAGAGACCACAAGGGCCATCGAGTCCAACCTCCTGCCAAGCAGAAAACACCATCAGAGCACTCCTGACATATGGTTGTCAAGCCTCTGCTTAAAGACCTCCAAAGAAGGAGACTCCACCACACTCCTTGCACATGTGCACACGCTATTTCCTGTGCACATCCACGCCGCACTGTGCCAGTTATAGCGGGCAGTGGCAGGGGTCACCATGGGCCGGTTAGACGAGCCTCGCAGGCCGCTACCGGCCCATGGGCCTTAGGTTGCTGACTTCTGCTTTAGACCAGTCATTCTTTCCTCTTCTAAGCTACCGTATTTTTTGCTCTATAGGACTCACTTTTCCCCGCCTAAAAAGTAAGGGGAAATGTGTGTGCGTCTTATGGAGCAAATGCAGGCTGCGCAGCTATCCCAGAAGCCAGAACAGCAAGAGGGATTGCTGCTTTCACTGCACAGCGATCCCTCTTGCTGTTCTGGCTTCTGAGATTCAGAATATTTTTTTCTTGTTTTTTTCCTCCAAAAACTAGGTGCGTCTTGTAGTCTGGTGCGTCGTATAGAGCGAAAAATACGGTACTTCACAGGGTTGTTGTGAGGAGAAAAAGAACTAGGGGCGGAGTGCAGAGAAGGTCCAGATATACCGTCCAGAGCAAAAGAGAGGACTGCTCATGAAGGAACAGAACAGAGAAGAAAGATGATGACAGATTACCCTGCATCCAAGATGGGTCTTGAGTTACCTCCCTGACAGTTCAAAATGCATTGCAAGGTAAACCTCACTGAAATTGTAGCCTTTACTAGTGCTATTCTCACATCACACACATTGCGGGGGATGGGACTGGACGACTCCCATGGTCCTTTCCAACTGTACAATTCTATTATAAAAGACTTTCTCATGATAAAAAATCAGGAAACAAAACAGAGATCCACCTTACATGCACTGACGGATGACAAAGCTCAACTAAAAACACTAGACTTAGAATCACAGAATTATGGAACTGCAGAGTTGGAGGGGATCCCGGCCGAGGGTCATCTAGTCCAACCCCCTGCAATGCAGGAATCTCCTTCAAAGCTTCACACCTTGAGAAGTGTGCACTCCAGGGGCCCCCTATTGACATCATGGGGCAGACGGATGTACTCTGGCACTTCCCCACGCTATGCAGAGAACATTGGAAGCCCCATGTCACACTGGAGAGGTGACCCATTCTATGTTCCAATGCCAGAATTGCATATCTTAGGAACTTGGGCCAAGATTACGGCTCAGCATCATTAGGTACTGCATGGGGCCCACACCAGAGCACTGCTGACCTCCAGAATCCCCTGGCTCTACTCATTCTATTCTTGCTTCCAGTTGCTGCCTGCTCACCTGCCCTCTTAAGCAAGCCAGAAGCAGCAAGTGGAGGGAGCAGGATTATGGGCAACATCAGAATGGGGAGGAGCTATAACAGGTGAATCTACCTGTGCTCCAGCCTTCTCTTTGTGTGCTGATCATGGAAATCATAGCCCAACAACATCTGGAAAGTTGATGGACTCTCCCCTGGTAAAGGAGCTCTAAAGCCAATAAAAATTGTGTAGCCAAGATAGGACTTCCTCTTACAGCCTCAGCTAGCTGGACCTCACGGATGCTTGAAGGCCACACTGAGAAAAGCCTTGCGCCCATATCAGTCCCTAACCCCTTATTCCAACCTCTCTTCAGAAAACAATGAGTTCAAGACCAAAGGAAGCCCCTTTCTTTCTGCTCCTACGGGGGCCCATTTCATTCTGGATGGGCATATCGTACAGAGCAAGAAGGCAATAATGACCATATCAGCAATCGTTTAGCACAGATAAGACATAATGTTTTAAAATGCTTCAACTATGCAAGCAGTGGATTCAGCTAAAGGATTTTAAAGAACACGCACACACCTTTTTAAATGAACATCTGGGGACGGAGGAGGTTTATGGTACAGTAGATAAGGCCATATAATAGCACCAAAGTTTTTTCAAGCGGTTGTCAGTCTTAAGGGTGCATTTAGTTCAGGCACAAAATTTTCTTCAGTCAGCAAAAAGATCTCCTTAATTTCCATGGTCTTAAGATGACTGCCAGCTAATTGTGCCTTGCTTTTTAAATGTGAAAAAAAGCACACAGATTAACATCTTCACCCAGAAATACAGCTAAGCCCACATGGTGCAGATCAGGCAGCTGGGTTCACAGAAAAGTTTGGCGAGCTTTTGAAAAACATGGACACCAAAGCAACACATGCTCCAGATTAGCAATTGTGAATGCAAAACGAAAGGATGGTTCTTATTACAGAGTAATTATATTACAGAGTGCTCATTATCAGCATGCACCTTGACAATAGATACTGAGCATGCAAAAATGCAACTTGCAGTCTACACACAGTAAGTCTTAACTTTAGTATCACCCATAGGGTATTTTTCTGGAGCAGACCCTCAGTAAAACAAGCCAATATAAACTAATGCAAAAATTAAAATTTCCAAGAGGAGGTATGCTTGTTTAGAAAGTAAACAGTGCCTTTTTCATGTTCGTGATTCAACTAGAGGCTATGTTTGTTGGAATACTTTTTAAAAGAACATGTTTCAAAGGGTAGCATATTTTGGCACATCTTGGGGGAAAAGGGGGGAAGCAGATGAACTTTGGAAAGATATGTCTTTTAGTTTTTCCACAAAACAGTAAGATAAATATAGTCACTCCCTACCATCTCCCCTAGTTCAACATTCTTAAAATATTTTGATTGTCATACAGTGTTAATTAAACAGCATGTGCATACCATTGCATACCTAGAAAGGCCCCCACAAATAATTTTTTAAAAAAATATATCCTCAAAAGTGCGAAATGAGCCTGAGAACATTCAGAAAATGCCTCCCTGTCATGCTCTCATTCCTATCAGATTGTGCATAAATGTATAAGTGGTTTAATGGGGGGTGGGGGATATGCCAATTTATCCCACCCTCCTCTGTCTCAGCGCAATACTAATAGCACAATATAGGTGGATATGGATCCTCCTTAACTTATTAAACAGTGCCTGCACTGTCTTTTGGAACCATTGATCATAGGCATTTAGGATTCCTGGGTACAGCTGTGGGCCTCAAAGGCTTTCCTTTTGCTTTCATTCATCGGGACCTGGAATGAGACCAAACGGAACAGGCTGCCTTAGAAGGTGGTGGATGTCAAAGGCTTTTAAAGCAGAGGTTAAAGGACCCCTGACAGTTAAGTCCAGTCGTGAACGACTCTGGGGCTGCAGCGCTCATCTTGCTTTACTGGCCAAGGGAGCCGGCATTTGTCCACAGACAGTTTTTCCAGGTCATGTGGCTAGCATGACTAAGCCGCTTCTGGCTAAACCAGAGCAGCGCACAGAAATGCCATTTACCTTCCCGCCAGAGTGGTACCTATTTATCTACTTGCACTTTTTTGGCGTGCTTTCAAACTGCTAGGTGGGCAGGAACTGGGACCAAGCAACAGGAGCTCACTCCGTTGCAGGGATTCGAACCACCGACCTTCCGCTCAGCAAGCCCTAGGCTCAGTGGTTTAGACCACAGCGCCACCCACGTCCCAAGCAGAGGCTAGTTGGCTGTTTATCAAGGGTGCTGCAGTAGGAGTGCATCTCCTACATTGGCAACAGACTGGACTAGATGGTCTTTGAGGTTGCCTTCAATACTATGTGTCAATGAAATGCCACCCTCTGATGTCTGACTTGGGTTTTCACTATCCATTGATGCAATCTTCTGAACAAAGGAAGTGCTACTACAAATAAATTTGATAACTACTAGCTCCTATTTGAGCTTCACTGCAGGAATTTCTTCAGAAGAGCATATCCTCTTCAGAAGAGCATACCACACAAAGAATAGCATACCACAACGATCAATAGAAGTTATATCATCCCACCCCACCCCCCACACCAAAGTAGGGACTTTTCAGCTCTCAAATACTATTTCAAGTTATTGTTTGCCTAGAATGACAGATTTTGTCAAGCTCTTTTTCTTCCTCCTTGCCCTCCCTCTTCAGGGGAGCAGAAATAACATGATTAAAATGTAGAAATTTGGTTGGAAATAACAGCCTAGTAGAGCACTGCCAAAAAAGGCAATTTTTCTTGGCTATGGATTAAAAATGAAACTTAACACCAAAGTGATTATTGAGCTACTTACATGCTTTTAAATGACATCTGTGCTGTCCAAAAGCAATGAAACAGATTAGCACGTGCCCATGAAGAGTTTCCTTCTTTACAGCCCACTGCCTTATTACAAACTCATCAGGCAGGAGGTAGCATTAGGGAACCTTCTGATGTTCAGCTGAGAGGTCAAATTTCACACTGAGAGCACAGGGAAAAAATGAATTCTCCAAGAAGCAAATCCCTCCTGTTCAAAGCACCACACATCCAACAGAAAGTTAAAACCACTAACTGTGGCAAGGCCAGGCCTTGATTAATTAGGAGAAGCTCAACTAAAACAAATGGCGAAGCACTAAATCTGAAAGAACAGGCTTGTACATTTGTGAGATTTGAACTGGGAACTGTCATGGTTCCATTTTCAGGCACTACACAACACACTAGCTCTCAAAGGCAGTCTTCCATCGGTCCTTTCTACTAATGAACTCTCCAGGATGGCATCTCTCTTAACTAGTTTGGGCTGCCCTGCTTAAATAAGTCACCACTTCAGCCAGGACCAGACGCAGCAGCTCTTGTATAATAGCTCACACAATCTTAATGGATCAGTAACATTTGCATAATTCATGCCTACAGTTGACTTGCATATTCAGCCTTCTGAGTTGCAAAACAATGGCTTCTGACTTTGCAAAAAATTAGAAAGCATGTACAACTATGTTTCAGTCTTCACAGCAACAGTACTCTATAAGACAGAGGTGGCCAACATGGTGTCCTCCAGATGTGGCTGGACTACAACTCCCATCATGCCTGACCACTTGCCATGCTAGCTTGGGCTGGTGTTAATTGTAGTCCATAACATCTGGAGGGCAACACATTGGTTACCCCTTCCCAATGAGCTGCATGGATAATTTCCAACCTGGACACCATTTTCATTGGGTCCATGAAATTAATCCGAATGCTGCCACTTTTAAATGTCAAGCTGGATACAATCCAATCAGTATCAGGATACTGAACATGCAAAGGTAGCTGCTTCCCTGAACAAAGCATTATCTCAGCCAAGGAGAAAATACCAATTCAAATGTGAAACTGTAGTAATCAGATCTTCATCGACTGCCATACTTAGAGAGTATATTTCTAAGATTTGCTAAGAGATCTTTTTAAAAAAAGTTTTCACAGCAAATTAGCCATTCACAGAGTAAGAACCAAACCAAATCAATCTGTTATTCATAGCTTGAAAGTCAATGTAAACTGAAATAGATTATTAGGAGCTCCTACTCATCCTTCTTTACTAGATGATGCAAAAGCAGGAAACATGTATACTAGCAAAAAAGGATAGAACGAAGGAATAAAGTTCAGTTTCACACACAAGGTAAAAAGGTCTCTGGATCAAAAACATCTTTCTGTGAATGAGGCTTTAGCTGCACTGATATCCAGGCACTTGAGTCAAGACAGGAAAATAAAACCATGAGAAACTAGTGGAAAGAATAACAGAGAATGGCCCCTTCTCAGTAAGCGATCTCTAAACAGATTAACACACACACACACATCCCTACATTTCCTCTCACACAAGTCTTCATATTCTAACAACTCTTCTTCAAGTTAAGAGTAGTGGGATAATAATTATCATAGCATTTGGCTAGTGAAATAAACTTATTGATCAAATAATACCCTGCACACCCTTCTAGATCAGATTAATCAGCCAGCAATGATTCTGGGAACCCATAACTGCAGTCTCCTATTACATATAAATATATATATTGGGCAGGGGGTGGGGGACTGGGGAAAATCCACCATTTAAAACTGCCAAAATGGGAAATCCAGTGAGTTGGGAGAACCTAATTTGCACCGAGTATATTTAAGAGCAGGTATAAAAGGGAAGGTGAAACCACTTTGAATGACCAGTGCCATACCATCACACCAACTAATTTATAGGAAGTAACTGAGCACTCTGAAACAAAACACCAGAAGCCAAGCTGGCAGAGAAAAACTTCTGCTGTGTGCACATTTGTTGTGCATCCAGTGTATTCCCACCATTGGTTTGGTAAGCAATGTGCACGTAGTAGCCACAAGCCTAATCTATCCTGTTTCAATTTTGTGGTTTCTTATCTAACACTGCATTTTGACGAGTTTTTCCTCAAGCCCGCTTGGATCCAAATTGAGAAAAAGAATGACCTAGATGCATTTTAAGCTGGTAAAGTGTGCAGCCTATCGTGAAAGCAGGAGAGACCTTAAAAAAGCCCTCCTGCCAACTTGTAGCACCCTATAACCTAAGCAGACAGTCTCAGACTTCACATTACTTAAAAGGTTTCGTCTGCTAGGAATGTTTGGGCATTCAGAGGGTGCCAACTATATAATGGACTCTTAGGTTGCACTCCCTAGTCCCTCGCGAGAAAATAAGTGGAGCTGGATTGCTGTAGCACAGCCCTATCCGTGTTTGTTCACCGGTACATCCAAGGAAGTTGTGTGTGCAGAGAGTATTGCTATATTAAGCGATAGCAATCCATACACTGCCTTGTATAAATAAAGTCAGCCACTAACGAGCCCATCTGTTCAGAAGGCAACCTGTGGAGTGTCGGGCATTTGGAGGCTCGATTTATTATCACCAATTATTGTGCGTAGAAGACCTTAGCGTCTTTAACTCGGCTTCTGTTCAAGCAGAGATTCACACGACATTCCCAAATCAGTCACAAGGGCGTCTTCCTCTTTAAAGACCAGAATTTATCACTGTTCCTCTTTCCTGAGGTAACCTGGCTCTTCAAGAAGCCTCGCCGGGAATACTTAAAGAAGCTTGCTCTTTGTTTGTGTGAACGCAACACACCCCGTGTAAGTCCGGCGGGGGGGGGGGAGCGCCGAATGCGGAGCCCTCTCCCAGCCCAGGCTGCAAAAACATGCCCAGGGCCGCGGCAGAGGCTCGTTTGTTGACACGCGAGTGGCTGCGTTGGGCTCCTGAAAGCCGTGTGTGTTTGTGTGTGTGTGTTGCTAACAGCCGGAGAACTAGAGCCCGCCAAGCACTTTTCGGATTAAGAGCGGCAGCTAATTGCAGGTATGATCCCTCCTGAGGAAGCAGCTTGAAATAAAGGGGGCAGGAGAGGAGTTTGAAGGCGGGAGAACGAGGTGAAGGGGGGCAGGGATTGAGGACCCCCCAAGTTAAGAGGAAAAGTTTGAGAGGAGGAGGAGGAAGAGAAGCGAAGAAGAGCAAACACTGCGCAGGGGGGTGAAAGAGAGCAGCGTGCCTCTCCCGCAGATCCAGGCTGGAGGAGCAGCCGGAGCCCCGTTCCTTACCCTTCGTCCACTCCACTACTTGCTTAGGGCTCCACTTGGTCACAGGCTCCATCCTCCTCCTCGATCCAGCGCTCTGAACCCCCCCTTGGCGAGGAGAATCCTGGCTTCTCTCTCTCTCTCTCCGCCCCCTCCCCCCTGCCCAGCCGGAGATCCCCAAATCCAGCAAGGCAAAGCGAGCGCCGCTCCCGCCTGCTCCGCTCTCGCTGCTGCCCCTGAGCGCGCGGGCTTCCCCCTTTCCAGGCTCCCATCGGGAGCAGGCAGCCCCGGCTCCGCCCCCTTTGGCCCGGGCCAGCCTCTCTCGCGCGCGCGCCGCCGGCTCCACCTCCACGTGCTCGGAGCAGCGCCCAAGTGGGGAAGCGGCCCGGGCGGCGCTCGGCTGGCGCGCTGGTGGCGAGGCGCTTCTGGGCCGCCGCCGCTGCTGCTGTGCCCCCTGTAGGAGACGGAGAAGAGCTCTGCAAACTCCGCTTGGGTTCTCCAAGTGCTGCTTTCTTTCTCCTCCCCTGTTTCTTCGCCCTCCCCCGCCCCGCCGCCCTCTATTCAATCCTGTGGGAGCTGGAGCGAAACTCCAGCAAGAAGCAGCCCAACCCAGACCGGCCCGCCGCCCTCGCCCACGCAGGCTTAATGCTGCTCTCAGGCGGGGCTGTTTTGCGATAGAGCTGGGAGAAGTGGCCAAGTGCGCACATCACAGCTGCCTTCTTCAAAAGGAAGAAACGTAGGTTTTGATGGTGGGGGCTCCTGGGTGGAGCCCCCCGGATGTTGCTGGACTGCGACTCCCAGCATCTCTGACCACTGATCATGCGGGCTGGGGCTGATGGTAGTTGGAGGCTGATCACAAGGTAGATGGCTGCAAGTCTTCCACCCAACCCGACCCCCAGGGGGAGAAGCTCATAACAAAGGTGTTTCCCCCCCCCCCACAGAGGGATGGCATAGATGACCGAGAAATAAAAATAAATGGTGTATGGGTAGTGTCAAACAGGCATTCTCCCAGTCTCTCACACGCTCTCTTTCTCATACACTCTCTCTCTCTCTTAACAGTGCCGGATTTACGTATACAGTGGTACCTTGGGATGCGAATGGGATCCGTTCCGGAGCCCCATTCGCATCCTGAACGCAACGTAAGCCGCTATGGCGCATGTGTGCGGGTTGCGTTTTGCCACTCCCGTGCATGCACGTGACGTCATTTTGAGCGTCTGCATGCGCGAGCCGCGAAACCTGGAAGTAACGCGCTCCGTTATTTCCGGGCTGCTGCGGAGCGCAACTCGAATGCGCTCAACCCGAAGCACATTCAACCCGAGGTATAACTGTAAAGCTAAACAAGCTATAGCTTAGGGCCCCACTATCTTGGGGGCCCCCAAAATTTAAAGGGAAAAAACCCTGGATGTACATTTCCAAAATATAAGATAAGAAACAAAATAAAACCAACATACAGCAACAGTGTTTTGTGTTGTGTATGGACCTATTAGGTCCATAAATTACTATACAGTATAGCACATATTCAACACAAAAAAACCAGTGACAATTTGCTGTTGACAAAGGACAGCTGGACATATAAAGGGCCCCATTACCTTCAAATAGCTTAGGGCCTCATCAAACCTAAATCCGGCCCTTTGCACACGCTATTATGATCAGACCACAATTAAAATGGGCTGTTACTGGAGAAAAGATTACTGTATTGGTCTCTTGCTTGACAGTGTTGGAGGGGAGAGGCATGGGAACCTGCAAAGCAGAAACTTGTTTTGCAGACCTTGCTTTTAGGGGTCAGCAAACACAGCTTAGGACTTTAAAACACTAGGGCCTAGTTCTCACTGAAGGAGGGAAGGTGGGCTGTACCACATCAAACTATAGGCGGAACTGGCCTGATCAGGAGTGCCACCACGCCTACCTATAAAAGAGTGACATGATATCAAGAATGCTATGCTAGAACCTGCCTCAGGCCCATATAGTTTTCTATGCAGGAAATTGTACGGAGGACCATGCAGTCGGGCAAAACTCCCTGTAGTCTGAAGTCCTGCAGCACAGGCACAAATGTACTACCTCTGTGATAACTTTTTGTTTTATTTTAAAATTATATATTGCTTTTATATGTTAGATACAAATTTAAGGCAATTAAATATCTGATGCCAAAACAAAATGCCAAGACAAAAATTAAACTGAGAGAAGCAGCAAAGCCACAAGATAACATAGCTGCAGAAGGTAGCAAAAAATAAAGTTACCAAAAGCAGCAATCAGTAGCAAAGTTGCTTGATTTCAGGCATTTTTAGCTTGTTTCGTTTAAGTCCTATAATTAGTCAAGGAGCACAATTCCAGCAGCTTGGGAAAAAACCCCAGATATTAAACGCTGTTAACGAGGTCTATCAGCAAGTTTAAAATGTTTTTTAAAAAAAACTAGGGATGACAATTTTGCATATCCAAAGAGCATTTTCACAGCATCATGCAATACAGGAGACATGTTCTCGCCTCAGAAAATTTATTGTTTTTTTTACTAATCGTTGCTTCTGTGCTTTTAAGATAAGTTTGATTCAGACATTTGTTTAGGCCTAAATAACAGTAGTTAAGTATTTACTGTACAGTAGTTGATCAATATATTGTATACTATATATACAGTGTAATGTATCTCCTGTTGACCTCTTTTGTTTTATTTTCTCATTCCGGTGAAAGAATAGCAATACTCTGAACATAATCAGCTATCCTCAAGCTATCCCCTCTGATGCAGGGAGGAATCAAATCAGTTCTGCTAGGCATTTGCTGATTCCACCTGCAGCAGCAGCACCCGTCAGTTTTGGGGGGTGTTGGGAGCTGCAGAAAGGAGTGGGAATTGGTAAAAAAAAAAAATCACTTTCCACCATAAGTGGATGCCTTTTGAAGCCCTTGTGCAAGAGCACCAATTGAATAAAACTGGTATTTTTTCTTTCATTTCATTGGCTAATAGCTTGCGTATAAAAGACTTATGTTGTATATTTTATTGTCTTCTCTGGGGAATTTCCCTTGTTCTCTTAAGGGCAGCAAATTCCAATGAGATAACGCACGTCACCCACTGTATTCACGTTCTGGTCATTTCTTTTTGTTCATAACATCCACCGACATCTGATGTAATCAAGAGACCAGGTAGCATGCTTCATTGTATTAAATTGCTTTGTTCAGGCAGGTGCTACTTTGTTTGCCTGGCTGCCCCCCCCCCCCCGCACACCTTCCTGGTTTGTGTATGGCATTATCATCTATTTATAAGTTGTGACATCTGTTTTCTTTGATCTGTTTGCTAGTTTGAAATGTTAATTTTGATAAAACTGCCAGCAACACCCATTTGTGCGTCAGGAGGCTTATTTCAGTATAGATCCACGCAGGCTGCATCTAGCCACCCACTTCCCATAAATTTCCTTTGCTAACAAGGGATAATTCTCAGGTCATCCTGTGTCTGTTGCTACGAGCATGGTGGGGTCTTTTGTGGAAGGGGTAATCACTGAACAATAACAAATTTATTTATTTTATTAAATTTATATACCACCCTTAATCTGAAGATTTCAAAGCAGTGCACAAAATAAAAGCACAAAAGTTTAAAGGTCAAGTGTTTTGTCCCAGACACAATACGATATTCTTCAAATCAATGAAATTCTCTTTTGCTAATTTGGGAAGACCGCTTTAAAACTTCATAGGAAATCAGCAGCCAATGTGAAGTGCCCTTCATACAGAGTATTGAAGCATTAATAAATACATCGTAATGCGAGTAGCTTGCAAGATCATCTCTTTCCATAAGGTTAAAATAACATAACTCTAGAGTGAAAGCTACAGTGGATACTGCCTTGAAGAAAATGTGGAAGCTACAGAGAATTCAGTGGCCCATCTCTTGGCAGGACTAGGTTACAACAGACATACAAGCCCTTTATTGAAGCATCTGTACTGTGTTCATGTCATTATTCTAATGTTAAAAGCTCTAAATAACCTAGGACCTATATAAGAACGTAAAGAGAGCTTGCTGAATTAGGGCAATGGCCCATCTAGTCCAGCATCTTGTTCTCACAGTGGCCAACTTCATGCCCATCGGAAGTCCACAACATTCACCTTGCCTGCATTTTCCAGCAACTGGTATTCAAAGCCATTCTGCCTCCAATATATAATCTTAGGGAGTACTTTATACAGAGGAATTTTGTCTCATCTCCACCTGTTTCTCAGGCATTGAGTAGCATTTTAAATTTTGAGATGCTCCTGGTGTTTCACTATTTCAGTCTCTTTTCTGAAAGTAAATGTACAGTGCAACCCTAGGTATATTTACTCAAAAACAAGTACCACCTTGAGTCAAAGGGATTTATTCCCGTGCAATAGGACTTTAGCCTCAGAGACTGTTAAAGGCCCCTGCCCCAATTTGGATTATATCAACACACATTTGTTAAACACATTTCTCTTAAAAGGACTTACCAGCAAAAGTACTTACAGGTGAGATATATGAGTGAAAAATCCTCTATGGCCCGCTTTATTCAACAAAATCATATCCATCTATTGCTTACTCTAGTTTTAAAACAAAAAACCTGGCATAAGTTTCAAATATCTCAGGGCTCTCTTCTTGTTGACATATTTTACTGCCTACATGTAAACTCACAAGACCAGGCCGTTGGCAAACATGACAGAACATTTCCCCACTCCAGCTTGGATCTACAATATTCTGGGATTTGTTTCTTAAGGTCTTCCTGTCCTCATTCACAAAACACTTCTGAAAAAGGAAGTGTATGCACCACAGTGCTGTATTTTGCAAACTGGGCTTTATGTTAGCTATAGGTGAAAAAAGTCTTCAAATCATAGGGGCAGTTAAATGGTACAGTACTTGTGGATGTGCATTAGGTGACTCCTTAAGTTTTCGTCCAGTTTGAAATGCTTGAATTATTTGTAAAAAAATAAAATAAAGGGATGCTAGCAATTGCAAAGCAAATGGTTACATTAATAAACTTAGAGGCTGCTTCTGAAAATATGTCTGTTGTTAGCAATTCACAATCAATCAATTTCGGTTTCCAGATTAAAACCTCTGAGCTGAGCATGGGGCCAAGGCTTATTTATTTGCTGTTACATTTATTTCCTGCCCTTTGAGGAGCTCAAGATACCAAACCATAGCAAAGCCAGCCAATTGTGCTTTATTCTGTAAAGGAATCACAGTTGGAAAGTGAATAAAATAATGTAGACACGAGAGAAGTGTTTAAACAAACATACCCCAGTATCGTCCTCCATCCAGCTTCCAGTGCTTTTTCTGCTGCTCTGGGGCCCCCCTCCTGAGTTCTAGCTGGTGTCAATATTTCATCCTATGATC